AGTTGATTGTTCTTCCGTTATTTTGTTTTGTCCTTGTGAAGATGTATGAGGTAATAGAGGTAGACGTTCGTTTGTTGAGGTATCGTGATTGGATGAGGTATGATGGTTTGGTGAGGCTGAAGAACGGTTTGAAGTTGTCTGGGTAGGTTGGGCAGGGGTGGGTGGTTGGGTAGGGTCGGAGGGTTGGGCAGGAGTGGAAGGTTGGGCAGGGGTCGAAGCTTGTGTGAGGATGAGGGTTGAGGTACTGGAAGATTCTGAGATGGGATGACTGTTTGACATGTTGTTTTTAAAGGAGCTCAATGAAAGAAGATGGAAAGAGATGAGTGCGAGTTAGGATGGATGAGAGAGGAGGGATGATGAGGATGTATAAGATGGTGTAGGCTAGAAGTATCGAGTAGTTTGGAAAGAGTGATTTAGATGATGATGACTCGAATAAACCAGATGGAAGATGAACAAGGTCTCAATATACACAAAGTTTGAATAGATGGAGCAATATACACAAAGTTTGTAATAATGGAGGAATGTACAAGGAGTAAGAGAGGCAGACACCAAAAACGTTATCGTTATCGACTTTTGCAAGATTTCTCGGGTCTTATCCGATAACCCAACACACCCCTGATCACGGGTTGGAACGGCGACATGACGACACCCAAGGCCGAAGAGGTATATGACGATTGTATAAGCTTGCGTCGCGCTGGTACTCTGAGATGCTACTCGAGTAAGCAGGCAGCATGGCAGCAGCTCGGGACAAGAGAGGTAAGAAAGGTGGGACAAAATTGACAAAGATGCATTCATCATCATTACTCATACGAGTACGAGTATGAGTACTCTACTCATGTTCTTATCGGCTTTGAAGACTTTCTTCCGTATACCAATTCAAACCCATCAAAGCTTGACATTAGCATGATCGACCAGATGACATACTACCACAGTGTGTCTGATAATTGGTTGAAGGAGAGGAACAAAGTCAAGAGGCGAAACAGAGTGTATGGATGTCCGAATGACGGAAAAGAATAAAAAGATTGGGAGAAAGAGAAAGAAGTTGAAAAACTCACATGGTTCTTTCAATGTCATGTGTTGATACCCAAGTACGGTAATCTATCATCAACATCAACCCTCACATCACAATTGGCATAGCTCATTATCCACTGAAAGAGGATATGAGTTAAGAAGCGAATAATCACTCACACATCCTGGATCTGCGGCAAAGTTGTATCCTGCTTGAACGGGAAGATTACACCATCGAGGGATGAAACATCTACTGAAATGACCATGAGAGAAGATCATGACGTCTGCGTAATCTACGTCTTCGGGGGATTTAGCCACTTTTTCAGCCTATACGTCAGTGTCACCCTCTCCCCTAGTTCGTTGAAACAACTGTGTATTCAACAGTGAGACAGAAGACAGAGAAGGAAGGATAAGGTGCGAGTCGGAAGGCATGCGTAGACTCACCTCAGCATGAATGGCCCGGACTTTAGCAATGACACGATCTACTCTATCACTTATTTGTTGAGGCGTTTCTCCGGGTGTTTCTCCAGGCGGGCATCTGTCCTCAGCTCCTGACTTGGTACATAACCTATTAAGGAGATAGGGACGATTGTCATGATAAGAAAAACGAATGACAATGGGAATGAAGGGGAAATGGTTGACCCACCCATCAGTCCAAATATCCCAATCTGGTCTTTCTTTTCTAATATCTTTACTGAACAAACCTTCATACGCCCCATAATCCCATTCGGCGACATCAGGATCGACTGTCCAGAAACATTTAGGGGGTTTGTGTTCTCCAAATAGCTACATGTAAGCACTGATCATATGATCAAGTTATGGACGAGAAATATAAGGCAAGGATATAAGCAGTGTAGATGTGAGAGTAATAGGTTCTGGATGAGTATACGAGACTGACCAAAGCAGCGGTTTTCTGAGCTCGTTGTCGGGGAGAAACGACTATATGTCTGATATGTTCAGGATTGATCAATTCTATCATCAGCTCTGCCTGATGTCTGATCGCGGAGAGACGGTCATCCGGCCAGTCAATGATGATGTGAATATTTGATGTAGCGAGCAACTCCCAGCCAATCTAGGAGAGGACACGTTGGGGTACGTGATGGAACACCCTCTAGAAGGCGAGAGGTAAACGTTTGTTGTTGGATAGATGGAATTTCTAAACAGGAATAGCTTGTACAACAAAATGTAAGAGAAACTCACTACCTGGTCCAATAACCCTCGGGCCGAGGTTTTTGACCATATCTTCTCCATGTTGAGTCAAAGGGATATCTGTAGAACCAGTCTACAATGAGTTTACTTCCCCGTCTTGCTCTCCCTTTTCATCTTCTGAGCCTATGCTCAAGCGGTGGATCAGGTGGTATGCTTGGCATATGGTTTTCGTCTCTTCTTTCAAAGAGCTCAAGGGGATCAAAATAGGATGACAGTGATGGACTCACATGACGACCATTAAGAGACCATTCCGTTTCTCCTATCGTGTTAGCTACCAGACTTGATCATTTATCTCACACATTCCATAAGTCATTAGTGTTATCCCAGGGATATCTCATTTCAAGAGAATCATGTAGTTCCAACATATGAGACCGTGGATCATTCCCACTCCATCCAAGGTCCGAGAGAACACGCAGCATGCACCACAGACGAAGGGACTCACCATGTCGTATTAGATATACCCTTGGCATTCGAGGAGGCATTTTCTCTTCTCACTTATCGTGTTCTATACTTGTACTTGCACTCTTACACAGCAACCTCTAGTGACAGTTGAGAAACAGAAATGCGAACTGGGTCGTTGATGGCGAACTGATGTCCAAAGGAACTTCGTTTGATGGGAAAGGATAATGTCACGCGGCGCCGCGTGATAATCCCCCCACCCCTCGAATTATTTCCCCCCCATTTTTGCAATTCATCCAAAAAACCCCTCACCCAACCAGTTATTCACCTCACTCCACATACTAAAGCATGCACTCTTTCAATATGCTCTTTTCTGTGCTTCTTTTCAATCATGCATGTCCCATAGTACCTACTAGACATTGTCCTGGCAAATTCGCGTTAGAATTCGCATGCGAAAGCACCAAAAGTCATCAATTCGCAAATCCACAGTACCTACCTGCGAAAGTGAGTGATACTCATTCTGACTGTCCGTCTGCTATGTGATAACTTATCCCCAGCATCTGAATGTACTGTTTAGTAACCTCTGATAAGTTAAGCTCTTCATCTTGATGTGCATGCATCAATTTACAGCTTGCGAAGGGAGCGTGACAGGGTAACAGAGAGGAGAGAAGTTGAATGAACTTCTACCTTTGTGTTGTCAACAACGCCTTTTTTCACTTGTCTTCTTCATTGTCCAGTTACTTCTCTATTTCTACTTCACATACACACACACATCCTCTCCTCAGCTCTGATCTAAAGCGTTCACACTCAGTAACAACATCTTTCGCAAGTCAATTCACTTCCACATTACACCAACAAACCAGTCAATTTTACGCCCAAACCTCTTCCAAAATCCTCCCAACTACTTCTTGAATCACTTCCTACTTATCACATCACCTTGTCAGCTACCATTCCCTCATTCCTTTCAAGATTCGCGTATTAGATCTCCCAAAAATGCCTCCCAAGGCCACCAAGACCAAAGCCACCAAGACCAAAGCAAAGGCGAAACCAAAGGTAGCCACTCATGCAAAAGCTGCTGAAAACACTGCTGGGCCCAGCACCGAAGACGATTGGTCTTTTCAAACAGCAGCTGTTCATCCTCCAGATAATGTCAAACTTACGCCTGCTCATACATTCTTTTATGAGCATATTCTCCCTAACCATCCTGTGTGGAAGTCGGAAGAAACTCTTCGCGAACACGAAAAGACAATGGGTGGTCCTTTACAACCATGGTGGCATGCTCAGTCTTCTGCTTTGCCCAATGAAGCTGGGAAATTTGGCTTTGTGGAGATATATGGGGAACAGTTGCGAGCAGAAGGTGTCAGGGCTATGGGGAGTAGAGGCCCATTATGCTTTAAAGACGAAAAGAAGCACGGGTGTCACAAAGATAAGGTTTTGGCAGCCTTCTACTACAAGTGAGTGCTAGTTTCGCAGGCTGTTCTTTCACTTCTGCTTTTGAAGGTTCCCATTCGCAGCATTCTCTCTTGAAATTCCCCTTTCGCAATTTGCCTCTCTAGAAATCCCAGTTCTCAATTGAGAGGATCCCTAGCTGATTACAGACATCCTGAAATCCGTTGCAAGAATGTAGGGGATGGGCTTATCACCACCATTGTTGACCGCTGGGAAGATGGAAAGTTTCTCAGCTGCTCTGTGTGCTATGCAAGTACACATCTCACAAACTGCACAGTCAGAGGAAAGCCGGTACCTGGTCAAGAGAGTGAGTTGGGGAACGAGGGAGAGAGGGAAACCGAGGAGATAAACGTGAATGATGCGATGGAGAGTGGGAATACGTCGGACCTGACTCCATTACCTCAGGAGAAGCGAAGGAAAGGCAAGGAGGTTGCAAAAGACCATTATTCAACCACTAAAACAGTCAAAACTCCAGCTCGTCTCACTCGATCGTCAAACGAAGCTGGTGGATCAAAGCCTCCGAGATCGACTCCAACATGGAAGACCCAACAAGAAGTTGAGAAGAGGAGAACACCTCGGGGGGATACTCCATTGCCTCCAAGAGATAGTGAGGGTTTCTTCATTGAAGGGGAACCCGAGCTGACAGATGCTGAAGATGAAGAAACCATCGAGGAGACCACCGATGAAAGTCAAGAGCAAGCTGCGAATACTGGCCAAGGCCAAGCTCAACATGAATCCCTTTCCTCTGAAAACTCTTCCCAGCCATTATTTGCCTCTTTCCCCTCGATAACAATGAGTCCCTCCAAATTTCAAAGCCATTCGCAAGAGGATAGGCAAGCGAATCTGCAAGGGAATAATGAAGGCAATTCTCAAGGCAATTCGCAAGAGTCTTCGCAAGGAAAGTCTCAAGAAGTAGCCAGCACCCTTCTTTCACTCTCTCATGCTGTTCCTCCTCCTCCTCAAACCTTGCCTGCACCGATCCAACCATCTTCTTTTCCTCCAGCTGCCTTTTTGCAACACAACCCAGCTCTCCCGGCGCCACAATCAACTACAACTCAACCTCCTGTGCCGTCATCCACTCCTTCGCAAGCAACACATTCATCTCCCATGGTCACTCCTACCCCTTCGCGAACCAGTATGAGTTTTCCTTCTGTTCGCCAACAACAAATCCTTTCATTGGTCCATTCTACAGCTCAAATTGCTTCAGACAATGCAGACCAGTCACCTTCCACTGTTTCTGCTGGACTCAAACGTAAAGCCAACGAGCCTGAGCAGTCTCCAGTCAAGGTACCACGTTTGGAAGCTGGAAACTGGGGTATCAAAGGCATGCAATCTGCTGCCAAGCAGTCCCAGGAAGTGTCTACAGCTCCTGTGGTTCGCAAAAACCCTCAACAAGTGGCTCAAGGATCGGTTTCGCTTGCAGGTCCTTCCTCTCAGCCTGGTCCCTCTTCACATGCTATTGGTCCCTCTCAGAGAACCTCAAGGGTTGACCCTGAAGCTTGGTTGAAGAAAATCATCATGAACAAAGGCAAATCTTCGACATCTGACGCAAGACCAACCGTTGATACTGCTCCTCTGGCCTCAAGTGTAGTTGTTCCTGAGAACAAGCTGCCACAATCAGAACAACCTGGTGCTTTGTCCTCTCAACCTGGTTCCTCCTTCTCTCAACCTGCCACCACTGTGAATCTCCCCCCCAAGCCAACTGCATCTTCCTCAGACTCTCTCGGTCCGCTTTTCGAGAAACCATTCGCTCCCTCGCTGACTACTCCTCAACGCGAAACTCCATTCATTCTTCGTCCACCAGCAAATCTCGAGGAAGTAGCTACTTGCTTCGACTTAGTGAATCACTTCCATGAGACTGAGGCTGTTCATGAAAATGCCTTCGCACAGACAGCCATGTCCGATATCTTGCGAATGTTTCAATACTTCCAACAATCCACAAGTATTCATCGTAGACGTCTGACTCAGGGGGTGACCACAGCAACTCAAGGTGTTCTAGCCTTACAAGATCGATACGATGCTGCGATTGCTTCAGAAGATGGTCTAAGATCTGAGCTTGCAAGAGTTAAACAGCATCTCATCTCCATGGAAGAGCTATATACTTCTCAAGTCAAAATCAATGAAAATCGTGAGAAAGCTATTGAAGATATCAAGAAGGACCTGGGTGATCAGATTGCTTCGCAGAATGTACAGATCAGCTCTTTAAGTGGTCAGGTCAGTGTGCTCAGTGATCGCTGGTCTGCAGCTGTCAAAGACAAGGAGGATATGGTCAAGGAAGTGACTGAGAAAGATGAGAAATCCAGGATATTAGAGTCCAAACTTGAGAATACCAATGCGAATCTGTTGGAGGCAGCTGGGGTGGTGCAGCAGGCTATTGAGGACAAGAATCAGCTGGTCAAGGAAAGAGATGATATCCGTGAGATGTATGAGAAGGAAACTAAGGTGCTAGGAGAAGAGCTGGAGGAAACCCAAAGCGCACTCCAAAACGTTACAGATAAGTACGTATCGCTGATGTCCATCAACAAGGGTGTGGCTGGTGAGCTTTCAAGGATGAGAGATGTGGCCGGTCTACCAAAGGTAGTTGCGAAACTTGACGAAGAAGGTGAGGTGGTGTTTGTAGATATGTCAAGCGTATCTTCTGAGTCTCCCAATATTGAGGAGGAAGGAGAAGGACAAGACTCTCCCCATCTCAAGGTTGAACCTCTCGATTCTCAAGAGCAAAAAAATCACACTTCCTCTCAAGACAAAGATGTGAGGAGAAGCAAGGAGCCCGGCGAAAGTGAGTCTGTTCCTGCTACTGGGGGAGAGCTGTATGGTGGTGAAGCGGTATTAGGGTCAGGAGAAGGTCCAGAAGCGGTGAGTATTGAGGAAGCAGGCGCAGCTGTATAGGTCAATTGTCGAAGGTTGTCTTTCTGTATAACATTGTAGGAATGCGAAATTGTTTCATGACTCTGCGAAAGCCCTTTTATGTTCGCAAACAACTGCGAAAGAGTGTGGAAAGCATCTTTTCACTCTGCAAATAGCTGACTCTCAATTAATATACTAATGGTATATACTCGATAGGTCTATATATGCTGGCAAATAATGAAGAGATTTCACCGATGCCCAAGAGTAGCCAGCAAAGGTGCATGTTCGCAGACAATACATATTACACTCTAATACAACAAAGGAGCAGGTCTGGGGGACCACAACAAACCTGCAGGTGTACTTCACAACCTGTCTAGCAGTTCTTGAAGCGAAGGCAGATGAGGACTTAGCTCTGTCCATATTTTGATGGATATCAGATCTTGATTTGGAGGATCTTGAGAAGCTGAAGCCAGAATCACTTGTAGAATGCAGGTTCGCAATTTGATTGATTCAGCCTGAGTCAGCTGAGGACTGTTCAAACCCAAGACGGCTGCAGTGGGAGGAATTCCTTGAAGCAAAAGGCCTGCAGCTGCAGCTGCTAGTGGCCCACAGCTGTGCGAATCGACCTGCACTGCCCACCCAAGGGCCTGGAGAACTTCCTGGTAGTCTCAGTCACAAATCCCGTGCGAAAGAGAGCCACTTGCCTTGTTGTTTGCAGCAATTACCCATCCAGAAACCTCTTGAACCGTTGCAAGTCCATTCTGAACTTCCCAGGATAGTCGTTCATCCAAGAGGACTGGCCATTGCTTAAATCAGACCACAAAAAACCATTGCTCTCTGCGAAAGATGCTCACCTTGGTAAAAGCCGGCGAATTGTAAGCTCCTCCTGCACCATCAAACATGAGAACCAGCTTCTGGGGGCCAAAGATGACCATGGCTCCAAAGTGAGTATCAGGGGCCAGCGAAACAACACCAACTAGAACTCTCTTTCTCCATTCGCCAGTTCTCCCCAGGCAGGACCAAGGAATACCACCTGTTCTTTGACCTGTCCACTCCTTCCCTGGATCTAGATGCAAGAATGTAAACATCTGATATAAACTAATATCGTCCTTCATGACTCCTTTACTACGTTTTTGTAGTTTCAACCTTGAGAGAAGTCGAAGTACATCATATATCATGAAATTCGAATACCATCCCTGTTCGCTACCCAGCTTTTGAGATAAGACTGCCGAAGAGATAGCTGATTCTTCCCCAAAGAGAGACAGCTTTGCTTGACTGTCAACATTGATCTTGCCATTCACACTTGCTTGCTTTGGCTTTGCTTGTGATAGCTCTTTTGACATACTACTAATGGTTTCTGGTGATAGACGGACAACTTTGCAGTAAGGTTTGGCAGATATCACGGGTTTTACAGACTGTTGGATCCTCCATGGAACTTTATTCATTCGCTCCCATATCTCCTGTGTATCACCTGCTAATCGACAGCAAGATAGAAGCTTCAGAGGTAGTTCAAGAGGTTTGTGGGAGCTTGCAATGTTGATCTTCTCAATACGTGGTGGATGTGGTGTGGAAACTCCCGAGCTTTGTCTTTGGTAGAAGAGCATAACAGGAAATCGAGTCTGTTGAAAAGCAGAACTGAGTAGATCAAGTCTTGAAGTTCGATCGTCGTCCAGCTCCCACCAGACACCATTCTCTTGAATCAAGGATACATAGTGGCCAGAATCTGCAGTGACAATAGCACCTTTCCGGCATAGAACACCTTTCAAGGAGAAGTGATTGTTGGTGTCGCCAGGGGTTGTGGAAGGGAAAGCAGAAATCTGCGAAGGGGACAAAGTAGGACTGAGAACAAATGGCACGACCGAATTCACATTGGATTGTGGACCGAGGTTCCAGACAACATTGATGATGAAGATTGATGTCTTGCTGTTGGTGTCCAGAGTCATCTGAGCTTTACTTCTAGTAACACAAACTCGTCCACATTCCGAGCAATGTCTTGAGGTGCATGTTCTAGTCAAGCTTCGCTGGATTAAGTCGACCACACTGGCTTGGTGCGAACCGGAACCTAGCACAGCACCTGGATGTATTGGAACAATTGTCATGACTCGCTCATGGGTGGAATCACCTTTCGCAATGGGTAATCGATGGCCACAGGGGGCAAACACATACTGCCAATCGACATCAAAGACATATGTAGCTTCTACCGGATCATTGGTGACATTATCTCGAATCTTGTTTGCGATGTAAAGGAATAGCTCCACAGGATCATGCTGTTCAAATTGGTCCACAAGACTTTCATCTTGAAGATCAGCAAGGGTAGCTTCACGCCTTTGAAACCCACTTACCTCTGAGAATTTGGAGCATCTGGGGTATATCTACTATCCGCCGGGTCACGTTGATACAGTCAAAGAATTTCTCCAGCATGACCACCAGTCCAGACACTTCCACCCTTAGTTCTGCTTTGATAGCATTGAAAGCTGCTGAAAAGGACGGAATTCGCAGAACGATATGGAACAGACTGATAGCAAAACAAGTTTGATTGTAGTTCTTAGCCCCAACAGGCCTTTTGCGAACGGGGAGCTGCTCGGTACGAAACTGGATATTGCTCTTGTTCTTCTTCCGACTTCTGTGAGGATGTAGAGGCTTGTTGGAAGCAGGCCGTCCACCTTTGTTAGGCTGTATGGGTTGACCTTTGCTTTCCTTGGGGGTCTTGCAGCCTTCTTCTGACTCAGAACGCACAGCTTTATGTCGTCGACCTATAGGGGGATCGATCTCTTCCTCATTCGCTGGTGTTTCTGTATCAAGATCTTTTGAATCAATACTGACTAACAAACAACCACTGGGTCTCGATGTAGTATCCCACTGTTGGTCGGGAAGTTCTGTTGGATCGTGTCCCCACCACCTTTGCAGTTCCTCCTGGTCAGCTTGCGCCGAAGTGGTTCCCTTATTCCCCACCCCTTCCCCTAGCCCCAATCGCAAAGCTGTTACATATGCTGCAGTCTGTCCCTCATATGCCTCTAGCTCTCCACAGGTTCTAAGACAATGAAGAGCCCATAATCCCCGACATCTCTTCCCTCTAGACTGGAACCACCCACAGGAGCAGTATTCGCGAGCACTGGATTTCTTTATTCCACAGTAATGCGCGTTTTGCTTTCGCAGGCCGGACTCAATGGTGAAGGTTTCTTTCAAAGGTTCCAAGCGGCTGGGTATTTCTTCCGGATCACAACGCTTGAGCTGACCCAGCTGCCAGATCTCAAGACCCTTCTGGATCTCTTGTGTTATGTCGGGATCACATCGACCAGAAGTTGGGGGGGAATAGAGATACATTGGAAAGTAGATGTTGACAATAACGGCAAGGAGTTTATCGATTCGCTTATTGGCTCGGGCTTGTAGGAAAACTCTGTCGAAAGTCCTGAATGCCGCCTCAACAAAGTTGTTGGTAGAAAGCGGCCCATCTCTTGTGTGTTCGCGAGGAAGACCATAATCCATGAGACATTTGCGCCAGCTTTCGCTGAACCATTGAGTATTTAACCATCTGCGAATGGTCTCCCAATGTTCTTCGTCCCCGTCCAACAACTCCAGTACATCTGCCTCAAACTCTTCATACACTTCCTCCCACTCCTCTTCCACATCACACCTCTGACACTTTCGAAGGGCGGAGAGGAACCTAGATGTCTTCTCGCGACCAACCTGAGTTCGTCCAAGCCGTCTGTCCATCCTTTCCCTTGCTGCATGCATGAAATGAAATTGACAGAGACGCACAGGAGTTCCTGGGAAAACTGTGTGGGCTGCATTTCGCTCCGCGGCATCACAATCAATCATGACCATGAGGGGCCAGAAGCCATCCTCAGTAATGAGGATGGCATTATTGAGAATAATCTCCTTGTCTTCAAATTCGCTGATGACCTCTGAGGTACCATTCGCAAGAGCTTTTGCTTCCTCTTCCACAGCGTTTCGAAAGACAGAGAGGAGATGGGTGTAGGACACGGTGGTGGCATGATTTGAGAGCATTACAGCCATTGGCACCATGTGATTGTGCTCATTGACAGTGGTGAGGAAGGTGACTGGACACCGAATTGCGTTTTTGTTCCTCCAAGAAGAGTCCATGGCTAATCCCCTTTCACGAGCATGGCGAATGGCAGTTTGAAGAGCGTGTTTGGGGCTAATCACACATTGGAAAGTGGCATTGGTGGGAAACTCTTCAGTTCCTCCAAGGACAAGATTGTGAGGGATTTCACAACTGGATATCAGCCTGGGTCAGGCGGCCCTGCGAATGTAACTCACCTGAGGAATGTTGATGGATTTGCTGAGTGGAGGACTTGAATAGCCGCCAATGGTAAAGTGTCCAGTCTGTCTTGCCTCAATGCTGTTCGTATGGCGGTTGCAAAGTCACTCTCTTTGGGCATCCTATGAGGACAATTGTCGGACAACCAAGTTGCATAAGGATGGAGCTTGGAGATACTGGTGAACCATCGAAGCTTTAGGCGACTTTCAGTTGTTCCTACCAGTGTCGCAGCGTCATGAAGGATATTTCGCATGTGGTAGGATATCCGTAGAAGGCTCAGAGGTTTTGGATCCCCATGGTAGGAAGGTAACGGCTGGATAATTGTGCAATATCCTCTGCGAATGCTTCTAGGAGTCATTCGCACCTGCGAATAAGCTCAACTCATCTCTATACAAGAGTCATGACTCACTTCAACACACAGTGGACATCTGCGTTTGCGAATTGTGGTCCTTTTTGTCTCTACAGGATCCTCTTTGCCTTGGAGACTCCCCTGATCCTCCTCAGCCCACTCATCCCCCTCTGTCCCTTCGTTTCTATTTCTTGCCTCACTCCCCTCACTGCCCTCATGCCCCTCACTCCTTTCCTCTGTCCTCTGTCGTTTTCGTAAATTCCTCTTTGGACGTTGTTGTACTGGAAGTGAGGTAGGTAGGGCTTGAACTTGCTGGCAGCTACCACTGCAATTGAACCTCGAGCGCCATACCAACTTATCAGGACCTTTTGCGAAGGCCTCATCTGAGACATGGAAGACTGCGTGACGTCCGCGAATGTCACTTGGGTGAAGTCCTGGAGGATCTAACCACTCCACCTTGACATGGTTTGATACTCTTTGTGATCTGAGGAGGTAGTCCTGTGTCTACGGATGTCAGTAATGTTACCAGAGTGATAAATAACTCACCATCATGTCAAAAGCCTTAGGAATAAGGTGAAAAGCTACCTCAATCTCCTCGTAACGCTCATCCTGACCAATATCATTCGCAGAAAGCACACAGAAGTTCTTCACTGCAGTGATGCCAGGACCGAGGCTGGCTTTTGTGCGTACAGTGTTGAAAGTGGATGGCTGCTGCTCCTGGAGTGATGGTGGAATCTGAGTACTTTCGAGTTCAATGATAGTTCGATTCCTCAAAGCTTGCTCGCGAATTGAGGTATAATCAACCTTTTGCGTGGTTGGAGGATGCGAAAGGGTAGACAGGCTTGTCACATAGCCTGAAAAGTGTGAGGTTGAGGTGGAGGGGGGCAGGTATGTTGTGGTTGTGTCCGTTTCAGTGCCTGGGTCATGGGTATTGGGTGTCACAACTGCGAAAGGTTAACAGAATACACTGATTGAAGAAGACCTCACCATCAGATTCATATTTCCTCTTCCTCAAGTGCGAACGGGGAATATGAGGTGTGCGAACGTTGCCAACAGGATGATTGGGGATTGAGTGGGGCCTTACAGGGTAAGGAGAGACTACAGAGACTCAGCAACTGGACACCTGAATATGTAAAGAGAATTCTGACCTTGATTCGCAGTGTTCTTCGCATATCCTGCCCCCCTTGCTTCTCCCTCTCCCTCTTTCCCTTCCCTTTCCTCTTCCTTCTCTTTATCTTTGATCTTCTCTGGCTGTCCATCTCGGCCTTTCTCCACTGCTGGATCTACTTCCATATCGAGTTGGTCAGAGATAAACTCAAAGTCCTGAAATTGTTCAAGGACATCACGACCATTGTCAAAGTAATCGTTGTCAATTGCTTGTTGTTTTTTCAGCTGTTCTTGCTCAAGCTGGTGAGTCTCAGAGCCCTGAAAAGGGAAGTTGTGAAAGGCTTCCAGGACATCACAGGTATCTTGCTCTGTAAAAGGGTCGTTAACTGTACAGAATCAACATAACATAATTCGCGAACGACTTTATAAACTCACTGTTGCCACTCTTTTTTGAAGGTTTAGCGGTACCTAAACTGACATCCTGACCAAGCTGACGCTTTGGGACTTTTGTGGGAGTTCCTGAGGACTGATCTTGGTATTTTCGAGCTGGTCTACCAGGTGTTCGCTTTACTGAAGCGTTCAATACAAGTTGATGAGCCAAAGACCGTGGTGTCATTGAAATTATAATGCAAATGAGGTATGTGAGAACATGTGTGAAGAGATAAGTAGCTAAGCAAGTCCAGGAGGTGTAAATGTGCATACAGCATTATTCACAGATCGCCCAGAGTGTCAATACGCCCATTAAATGAGAGTTGGGTGATCTGCAAGGTCAGTGCGAACCGGCCTGCGAATTCAACTGTGAATGAATAAACCCCTTCGCGAATAATGTGAATTCACACATTTATGGACAGTGTAGACCCCTGGGAGTCAGAAGATATGCAGCAAGCCATGGTAGGAGGTTCTAGTAACAAGTGAGGGGTTTTTCTGCTTCCAAGATGGTAATGTGGAAGGAGTGGGGTGAATAACGGGTTGAGTGGGGGGTTTTTCGGATGAATTGCAAAAATGGGGTGAAAATAATTCAAGAGGTGGGGGGATTATCCCTACGCGCATGTTTCCAGTGAGTGATCGTTTGTTGGCCAAGGGGTCTTGGCACGTCGGTCCTGCCTTCCTTGCTCGCTACTCTCGCTCTGGGGAGAAGGAGGTGGATCTGGGGATGTGTGCCTGCACTCGAAGGTGGGAGGTGTGGCTGATGACGAAGATGATGAATGATCTGTGGTCAGTGAACCCATATTGTCCTTGGCAAAAACTTACCTGCGTCTGAGTTGTCTGAGGGTGATTCATGCCCACTGCTGGTGTCATGTGTTGCCCTTGACATCCCTCGCCTTCTCTTCCGCTTGGGTGGCCGATTGCTGCCAGTAGGTCGGTCAAGCAGAGTTCTCTCAGTGGCGGTCGCCCGGGAGTAGTTTGCACATTCCTCTTCTGCTCCATGACAATACAGACCACACTTGACGCCCTTTTGACGGCAGCGGCAGCGCTTGGTTGTACAATCACCCTTGCAGCGACAATGCACTTCTTCTTTTCGGATGTCTGACCGGTCAGCTGCGCCTAAAGATGTTGCTAGCTCACCAAAGATAAGATGCGCCACATGTCTCAATGTCACCTCTGGCTGTCTAGTCCAGTCTCTCCATCCCACAAACAGAGCCACCGGGAGCTCCATATCGTCCGCTGGGTTGATCACCTTACTCCGATATAAGCGGCTCAGGACTCCCTCTGAGCAGAGTAGGCGGTAGGTGTGAGGGTTGTCCTCAAACGTCTCACAGATGACGCAGGGTATGCGGCTAGCTGGAGCACCTGGTCGATCCGCTGGCGGGACAAAGAGTGTCACCTTATCCCCCGCCTTGTACTGCCAAGTCTTGTGGTTCCGCCCATATTGTTCAGTCATCCTGGCACGGATGAGGGCCTGTCGTTGCTGCATCTGGGTGATCACGCGATCAGCCACAGTTGGTGGATGCCGGTTCTCTTCCTCAATCATCTGTTGAATCGGATTCTGTTCTTGTCCTGTGGTGGGATTGGGACGGTGTGATGATTCTGCCCAGATCAGCTGTCAGAAGAAACATGGAGTGTATGAGCCATGCCCACCTGTAGGTCCATCTGGCGCAGGATCCTGTCTCTCGGCCTCATCATCATGATCCTCAGATTCCCACTCAAAGTCAAGAGGTCGACCTTGGGCACCCTCATCCTCTTCTTCATCATCGGATACTGGATTGTCCAGTTCCACCTCCTCCACAACATCTCGCCCGTCTGGAGTCTCCCACATTTGAATTTCTCGATGCTTGCGACCAAATACTGCATGGTAGGGTGTGTGAAGGGTGGCACTGTGCTTTGTGACATTGATTGAGCGGATCACATGTGGCAGGCCATCAGCCCTGGAGTCTGTCAGCCATAGACAACAAGCGGTGAAGCATACTTACCATGGGCGGTCAGGATTGTCCAAGCACCACTTGGCCAAGCGACTCTTCATGGTGGCATTGCCCTGCTCCACCAAGCCTTGTACCCTAGGTGTGCGGGGCAAGCCATGTAGAATCTTGATGTCATACCTCTTTGCAAGATCCACAATGAGTGTGTTGCAGAACTCTCGACCGTTATCGGATTGTAGAATAGTCGGCGGACCACAGTGATTGATCCAGGTCATGAGGTGGCGCTCCACATTGGCAGCTGTCTTCTTTGGCATTGCATACTACTGTCAGCGGCGGAAGTTGGAGCACCTGAGCAGACTCACTAGCTGCGAGTATTTGGTAAAGTGGTCCTTGATATGACAAATCCATCGCATTGTCTCCGACCCGACGGTACATTCTTTGGCTCGCATATCCACGAGGTCGATCTGGATACGCTCAAAGGGCAGATGTGAGGTGATGGGTGTGATCTCGCCATGATCTTTGTTCCGGGCTCTAGGAATCAGCTCAAAGAGGTTTGGCAAGTGAAACCTACTTGAGCATGCAGATGTTGCACGCTTGAACCGCCTTGATCACCTCCTTCTTTCCTATGCCATGATAGTGCTTGGCAATCTCCTCGTAGGTCTTGTTCTGTCCCGCATGTGTGGTTTGGAGGCAATGGACTCGTCTGATCACTGCAAGCACTTGTGACACCGGTACCAGCTTGAACCATTCACTTGCAGATGGATTGTAGCGATACAATACATCCTCACCAGTCTCGCTTAATCGATGTTGCTTCCGTACCTTGGTCAACCAGGAGTTGTGGGGTGGGCGGAAGTCAGGAGGTGCGGCTCCATTATGTTCAAGTACCCACCGGCGAGCTTGAAGGTCATCGTCCTCTATGGTGTAACTGAGCTTCTCTGCTTTCAACCAAGCCAAAAAGTCCACCTCAAAACGTGCGGAGAAAGCGGTCTGAGGGAGTGCTGCCATCTCCTCCAATAAACTAGTGAGAGTAATTGCTGAAAGGCATGAAGGAAACTAGCGGGAGAAGGTGAGGCTTATGCTATCCCCGAATGCAAAGTGGCACTTCTCCCACAGGGTATGGTTGGCCATTCACCCCTTGAGATGTACGGTCTGGCTTACTCAGAGGTTCATGTCCTTGGTACGCCCTTGTAGAACTGGCAAGGAGATGCTGCATGCAGCAGCTGCCTTGGGCCTACACGTAGGACAGGGTTGCACAGAGGGATCACACAGTAATTGCATGGATTTGATGGATGCGCGCACAGAGTGCTCCCTGGGTGTACGCTTCACCGGTCATTCACCTCTGGAATGGTACGCTCCCCCTGTGTATGGTGTGGCCCATTCAGCTCCGGAGTGGTACATCTCCACCTGTGTCCGACCAGGATCATTCAGCTCCGGAGGTGAACGTCTCCGCCGGTGTCCCTAACAGTACCAGGCGTAGTAGCAAACGGAGTAAGCCGGGACGCGGGAATGGAGACGGGGACGGGAATGGAAAAAGAGTACGACTACATGGTAAGGTACCCGTGGTACCGCGTGATCCTGACACGTATTCATGTCCCGTCCCCATTTGGAAATCAATCATACAGTAATTCCCTTTCTCACTTTAGCTTTATCTCTTCCTGATCCCGTGGGAACAGTGTAAGAGTAAAAAGAACAGAAACGTTTTCATCTATACACATTTGCAAAATCTGCATTGTCCATCAAAAGGATAAGGTGTGAACCGTTTATGTTGAGTCATCAAGTGTCAAATTAAGTTACAAGGGTTTCTCAACATCTAATTTCATGCTTCCACTATGTATTTATTTACATTCTCTTTTGGAGGATCACATGTTGACTATTTACCTTTGATGACATGGACCATTTGGTTTTACTAGTTCTCTGTGTAAGATACAGAACTATCATCAGTGGCATCAATAGCTTCACGTCTGTTCAAACAACTTGTATGAGGATCACCTCCAAACCTGAAACCGTCGTATTTCTGCCCATCTTGGCCAATTTCAGGGAGTGGGTTTGTTGGAGGACTCCCCTCTCCAAGCCAACTTCCCTCACCAAGAGCCCCCAAGTTTGGTTGATTAGCAAACTCAAAGATGATCATAAGAACTTCATCATTGATTGGACGGTAAGGTGTCCTATTGCCGGATTCTCCCTTAGTAGTATTTTCAACAAGCTGTCTAGTTCTCTCACCTATCCATCGAGCAATACTACTTGCTGTATTTTCCGAGTTGGCTTTCAAAGAGAGAAGCAATTCCGTCAACAAATTGAAAGATATGTTTCCAGCTGGTGCACTTGGATTTGAATGATCCTGAAGAGCTTCAGACTTCTCAGTAGTGTGTTCAGTCGATTCACTCTGTGTGTGGCCCTTAGCGGTATAATAAATCTGCAAAAGTACCTCATCCGCCAATGAAAGTGATTGTTCCATCAGTTCAGTAGGGTCCATAAGGTCCCTTAAATGTAAACCAATGGATCGAGCTATTCCTTTTGCTTTTTTCATGAGCTCAGCTGTTAGAGCGGTCAATAAGTTTTCCAACAAGTCCAAGGATGTGCGCCCAGCTTGTGCGTGGGTTTCTCCGTCATCTCCTGCAGCTGGATCAGCACCAAAGATCATTTCTGATATGCCTGATGAATCACTTCTGTGTGGACTTGATGGTGATGCTGATGGAAGAGGATTGTGTTGAGGGGATTCCTCTTGCGCACCAGTGTCATTCAGTGATATTTCATTCGAATGCCTACTCATTGTGAGACGGGGACAAAGTAGTTGAAACGCAGGGGACCCATCCCACCCGGTTCTGCCTCATATACCCCACACCCTAGAGGAGAGTAGGGGTCGAACGATCTAGACGACTTGTTTTTGATATTCCGACGCCGGCGTCCCCGTTCTGGTCGGAGGAAGATGATGACGTCTAGGGGGAGGATATCAATGAAGGGAGTCTATCAAAAAGCTGTGCAGGTCTCTACCTATGAGGAAGATATCGATGAAAAGAGGGATATCAATAAGCAGTACAGGTCTCCACCTCTAGAAGATATCGATGAAAAGAGGGAATTCAAGAAGCTATGAAGGTCTACCTTTAGAAGATATCGATGAAAAGAGGGATATCAAAAAGCTGTGGAAGGGTGAGAAAGGATATCGTTGAAGGGTAGGAATAGAGAAGTTGAAATATAAGATTGATGAAGGGAGAGGATTGAGAAACCTGTGTAGGATTACTTCTTGGGTAGATAAGGGTGTGGGAGAGGGAAGGAGGAGCGGTGTACGAGTAGGAAGAAGAGAATGGTTTGACAAACCGTGAGAATTGTAGGAGGATACGAATGGATCGAGGAGGATACAATTAGGCGTGGACGGGTGATCAGATGATATAAAGGGAGAGTCTAAAATGATGGTGTGGACTTCAGGATGAGATGACAAGATGGACGGGTATAGTTCTCCGTATGAAAGATTCAAAAGAGTCTATCAACGAAGGGAGAGGCTGTATCGGTTGAGAATGGGTAAAAGATTGGATGAGGAACAAGGGGTAGGAAATCATGAAAATCAAGAGACCTATCTTGGAAAGACCAACGGAGAAGAGACATCCTCGAAATGATTCACTCCTCTATATGAGGAATATAAGGGAAAGAATAAACGGTGAGTGTTTTTCAAAAATGTAGGATGTTGATAAGAACAGTTAGATCTTGGAAGAGAATCAACAAATCTTTGTCAGTCATCTACAAATCACCCTGTAAGTCTGTCAGACGTTGTTATGATCCATTCTACCCATCTTCAATGAAAGATGGTTAGAGGAAGATGTAAGAAGGATTTTGCAATGTCATCTCGCAAGGAAAAATCCAATTCTCATGACTGAAACTCTTAAATAATCTCTTCATTCTCTCAAAACAAAAGATTCCCTATTCTCCTCAGTACCATCATCCCTGACCCATTTACCAACAAAGTGAAGTTGAACCATCATCCTTCAAACTATGAAGGAAACTAAGAATCTCCTTAGACTGTGTAGTTCCTTCCAAGCCGCGTTGATTAAATTTGAGGTCAGTAGAGTTACTTGTATGTCTTTAATAACGATGAGGACCAGGACATCTACAAGACGAGTACGTCCTTGCTGGAGCTCGATTGAATGTGGACGTTGAAAGTTCCTGCCTACTGCTTGGAATTGAGGTAATTGAAAAGTCCACCTTGTTCAGATCATCATTCAACTTCTGCATTCCATCTTCTACATCACCGTTGATGGTTGAAGTGGGACTTCCCGTCATAGAACTTCCTGACGCCAAAGTCGAACCAGGACTCACTGCTCCATTTGATGACAGAGGACTTCCTGGGTTTGAACTATTTTTGAAATCAAGATCCTTTGTGTTGAGTTGAGTCAAAGTGACTTTTGATTTGCATGTACCAGTAGTTGTGGAAGGTACAACTTTGCTATCAAAGAACTTGTCTTTCTGATCCTCAGTGGTGAATTTTGAGGAAAACGCAGAATCATCGCCCACCAGGGTATCTTGAGATTCCTGGCGCAGGGGTCGCTGAACGGATTGAACAGTTGTCATCTTGATTGTACTAATGTGCTGTAGTTATCGAATTGTCGTACTGTTGTTTGTAGAAGAGTGAATGTTTGAGTTTGATGAGAAAAGTATAGACTTTTGTGGCTTATTTATACTTTTCAAAGTCATGATTGGAAAAAGGCGGGAGATGGCTCTCGTGTTACGTCATCATCGTTAGGAAGGCAATGACGTTCGTATAAAAGTGTGAAGGTTTGGAAGACGTACGTCGATCCTTTCAGAAACAGATTGTTTGAAGGCAACACCAACATTTCTATATAGAGAGATGACTCAGAGGGGGAAGTCAAGAGAGGGAAAGTTTGGTGAGCCATGAGAACGTGAGAGATCATACAAAAACATTCCTGTTTTTGGCTTGGAATTCGTATTCGAGGAAGCCTGGTGGAGCGTCGGTGAGACTTCTTCATGATCCGTCAGAGACGAAAAGCTAGAGAAAGTTGAGTAAGCCCTGTCAACGTAAGAAGAAATCCCTCAACAAAGTTCAAGAATCCGTTAAAGGATTGACGAGACAGACATGGAACCCTTGTTGAATCGTCGACGAGTCTGTCAAGAGATTTCAAATGATATGTATGATCATGAGGGAAACCACCAACTCAAAACAAATGAAAAAAATCTCATTCCCCAGGTCTCTCCACAACATCCCTCAACTCCCTCCATCCGTTCAAACTCTCCAACTCTACATCCACCCCTAACCCATTCAATTCCTTCTGTAGACCTTCCAGATCAACTTTCATCTGTCTTCCAAACCTTTCTTCTTCTTCTTCCCCATTCCCACCACCACCACCTCCACTGAAAAACCCAAACGTACCTTTCTTACTCTTCCTATGACGTCTCAAAAGGTCTTCAGTCTTTCTCACACTTGATAGAATCGTAGCGTAGTTGGTACATACCGTATCGACCACTTGGGAGGACCAATCGCATCCGTATTTCTCTTTGAGGGTCGGAAGAGAGTTCAGTAGTTCTTGTAGAGGTTTGAAAATTGTCGGGATGAAATGAGAAGGAGTGGGTTGGGTAGAGGAAGAAGGTGAAGCTCGCAATTGTGATGCTATTGAACGAATCAGTTTGAGCGGTTCGGAACATCGTTTGACGAGTATAGACAGGAGGGTGGAGATGAGGGAAGAGGAAGGGAGATTGAGGAGGTCTGGGTGTCAGGTGGATCACACACTCAAGTGACTGGAAAACGTTGTGCGGATGTTTGTGCTGAGTGCAGAAATGATATTTAGTCTTGAGATCCACAGAATTGAGAAAATTGTATGGCAAGTTGATAACGCAAGACCATGCCAATTCGGTGAAGTGGGGTGGGGAGGGGGTTAATGTGCGACAGAGACCGCTCGACTTACCATCAAAATCCACCCCTTTGAGAACATCCAACCCTCTTGCCTTACTAACGAACAAATCCACATCCATGATACCCGCAGCTACAAACCTCAATGCTGTATCTTCCTGTCTCGTATCTTCGTCTCCCAGCTTGTAAGTCTCTAACGTGGTCTGAAGCCAGCGTCCGTACCTCGACACAATCTTCCATCAGCTCGTCCGCCCCAAGTGTGTTACATGAGTGTCTCATACATTGAACTGCTTGTCCGATGAAAATCAGAGAGGCATGAGTGTTCCTGACCCTGATGGAATACGCGGACAGTCTGAAGAGGGAAAAGAAAAAGTCTGAAGAGGCAAAACAGCTACCATGATTTACAAAGGGAGTTTAATGATTCAAATGGTATACATGAAAAGATTGAAGAGGAAGAAGAAAGTCCTCTCGGATATCTAGAAATTGAAAGATTCCGACAAATGGGTCTATCAGACTTGAGAGTTATGTTGATAAAGATGGCAATGAAAGATCTACCCACCTGTAAACTCAAACGCCAGAATCGAGCAGCTAATTCAGGTACGTAAACATCTTCCGACCAACATCTCTCAAACGCTTTCCAAGCGAATTGACTTTGTGTCAAATTCCATTCCCCTTCTTCTGTCGCTTCTTTCTCCATCATCGACCGAGAAGGGGTCTTGGGTTCTCCTGACGTTTGTCTGGAATCATCTTGAGATCCTTTTTCGTTGGGTTTTACCACTTGGTTCAATTGTGAACCCCTCCTTGATCCTTGCGCGATTTGAGATCCCCTTCTCTCTGGAGATTGAGACGATGTTGCTAAAGAATTTTGTTCATGCCCAAACAAAGGTGGGGATGTAAGAGTATTTTCCAAACTACCAACTATTTCTTTCCACCTTAATTGAAAGTATACAGGTAATTGCCATCGTCTAGAGAACGCCTCGTACGATTCGCTCTGTCGCATAGATATGATGGATTCTTGACTGGGAGCCAGGGTTTCGAGTAGGGAAATGAAGTTGTATGTCGTGGTGTAGTGCTGTGCTTCAGTTACTGTCACCGATTGAACGAGCACGTCATGACGGAGGAGAGAGTTGACGGTAGCCACATGGAATGTAGTAACGTGTTCATTGCCGAGATGGCAGAGTGGAGCAACGAAGGGGAAATACAGGATGAGGTGACTGGAAGAGATGAATCGAAAATCACCTTGTGCAACTCATCCGGTCTACCAGCAGCGAAAATCACATTCCCCAACTTACTCGCAATACTCCCACTGAGTTCAGGCCAAATGACCTTCCCGAAAAAATCGAAACCTTTATCTCCTTCTCGGGGATCGTTACCGTGGGAATTGTTTAATCCCTCTGCGACATTCATGAGCGGTTGATATGTTGTCAGATGGGTCAAGACTTGGTTATACAGTGCAGCGAGGGGAGTGGGTTCAGAGAGTTGAGGAGAGGGATCGAATGGGTTACGGAATGTTGCGGGTGTATGAGGAGTTTTAGGGATGGCTGAGGATGGGGCGGTGAGTGCAGAGGGTGTAATTGTCTGGGTGTCAGAAATTTACATGACTTTGTCTGACGATTGTGGTAGCATTTCTAATCTGGTCGCAGAATAACATGTAGACGAAGAAGTAGGGTTTGCAGGTGAAAAGGATCGAGATTGAACAGAGGATGGAGAAGGAAAGAATCACTGTGAAACCACTAGTGGCCTGCTTGTAGACTACGCGTCGATGAAGAGGAATTAGGTGGAGACGGGCCTGAAAGTAGGATAGAGGAACTGGAATGGCATGTGTCAAACATGAATGAAAGTGTTGTGGCTGCGTTTGCCGAGAGATGATGGAGACGTTCGGGCTTATTCTGCGGAAAGATATACAAAAAGATGCGGTCAAACAACTCACATGCTCGCAGAAATCCCTGACAGACCTCCTTATCACCTCTTCTGCCTCTTTCCATCCCTCAATCAACTCATAAGTCCTTAAACAAACTTTCAACTCATGTTTATCGTCCAAAGTGCCTAATAAGATATTCGACAAATCTTTCGAAAGAGACTCTCGGATAGAGTCTACACGAGGGGAAACGACTTGAACTAATTCACATTTCTCACTCTTCGCTTTATTGACTAGATAGACTAATTGTGTATATTCGCCAGCTACTCGAGCTACGAGTTTGGAACGATCTGAAGGTTCTGATGGATTAGAAGGTGCGAGGAGGGTTTCGGCACGGGAAAGTGTTTCGAATAGTCTTTGGAGGAGATCTAATAAGGCCTGATTGTGAGTGTGAGTGTTTTGTCAGTGATGAGCATGAAATTGTCGTGATCAGACATGAATCAGTGTGTCATATCGAGACAGGTGATGGGCATCAGACATGTGTTGGAATGTTACTTGAACACTGGTATGGAGGTAGGTGATTTTGTAAGTAACCACAAGAGATTGGATGACGAGTAAACGTGAAGGAGATGGAATATAGGGAGAGAGAAGAAGAAGAAGGAGAGGAGACATACACGTTCTTCCCTCAAAGCAGCCCGTTCTTCGAGTTTTGATTGAACGGCTTCTTGGTGTGTCAAAAGGACATCTCTGACGGTCTGGGATCAGTTGGGAAAGCTACTTTAGAGAACCCCACGATGATCCGAGATCCAAGACAAGGAGGATACCGTCAACATAAGAGACAAATGATTGAACAAATCACGGGCATCACGAGAAAAAGCGTGTAGACGCATGAAATCATTATTAGGAAAGTACGATCATGAAGCGTTGCGTATCCTGAGGGGTGGAGATTGCCTGGGGTAGGTAACAAACGGTAAGTAGAGATGATGGACGGATTAAGAGGTACATTAAAAGTGGACCCACCTCAATCTCCCCACATAAACCTGTTAGAGGTTGTTCTAACCCTCTTAACCTATCTCCTTCCCCTCTGAGTCCAGTACCGAGTGAAATGAACTCTTCATAGTCGTCATTGATGAGTTGGACCAATTCTTCTCTCAAGATCCCTGTGGTCAGTGAGGGTATTGTTCTACTTCACCGGGATATTCTCATGATCAGAGTTCCCCTGAAAACCGGGAATCCCGTGGTTGGGAGACCTTTCTGCTCGATAATAGGTCCTTTTCCTGAATGGAAATCCTGTATCCTCTGCATAGCGGGGGAATGGGGGAGTGTGGTTGAGTAAGGAAGAAATCAAGGTTCTCGGTATGACGGTGGAAGAGGGGGTCATTGCCTGGTACGTAGTGAAATATCGTAGAGATGATCAAGTTAAACTAAGGAGGATGAATTGGAAATGAGTGAGATAAGTGGGGAAAGTAAGCCCGAAAGTAGAGAGGAAGAGAAAAGGTGATAGAAGTAGATCTATGACTCACCGAGATATTCCCTCAATTCTCCTCTGAGCTCATCCAACGGGACCCAGACCCTACTTAATAAAAAGGAATCAACGTCGAATTGGTCGGAAGAGAGTAATGGGTGATCGTGGGATAATGGGTGAAGAGATGGGAGGTCTAGAGATGGATGACCGGAGGGGGGTAGAGCAGTCGGATTGGAGTCGGAAGGTGAGGACATGGTGATGAGGTTAAGGGGTCGTTCAAGACAGCAGGCAGCTGGAGGGTTAGGTAAGAAGTGTAGAATGAGTGTACATGTCAAAGATGGAATGTCTATTGCACTGTTCTATAGTAGTAGAGGAGGTTAGTGAGTGGGGACGTGGGGGCGTGTATGGAGAAATAGGCTTGCGAGGTCTATTGGCTGAGAATCTTATTTCAAACAGGCGTGGAGAGGTAGGCTAAGTATCGGGAGTGACCATATTTACAATACGATTACTTACTTACTTGGTACATGTCAGACATGGAGTAAGGTAGGGTGGGGTTATGAAGGGGTGGGATATGATAGGGTATCAACGTGTTGGTTAGCGATAACTTCTCTTTCATACTTGTGTCTATCATCACTGATGGTATTATATCGTCTATGAGGGATACCACTACAACTAAGTTACAACATTTATATATGTATCTCACTTCTTATATCTCTACAACATATCTCTTCCTAGCCCTTCTCCTTCTCCTCGGGTTCTCTCCCCACCCCACCCCACCCCATTCTTCTGATCAGTCTGACCCCTGGCCTGCCACTGTTCGCTGATCGCTGACCTCTGGGTAACAGACAGCTGAACACTGAGCGGGCGAGTACAGAGACGGAGAATAGATACTTGGTTGATCGTTGATTTGACCTGACAAATGGAGTAGGGAAAGACGTAAAGTGTTAGCCTAATGGAATAATAACCTCCATAATCGTTCCAAAGGGGAATCAACCTTGACCATCTCCTCAACCTCCCCTTCAAAAACATCCTCATCGACAAGTTTTTCCAACGATGACTCCATATCGCTCTCAATATGTTCCTCAATGTTTTCAGTCGGATCCACCATATCCACTTTATCCACCTTATCCATCTCTCTCATATCCCCTCCCGACTCTATCCCCTGTTCAACAGAAGACCCGACCATCTCATCCCCGACTTCATGTCCCAACACCCAATTAGCTCGACAGGTATAACAACCCGAAGAGAAGAATGTAGGTGGAGAAAAAGCGAATGCCGATAATGAATAGATCGCGTGAGGTAGATGGAATATACCTATTAAAGAGAGAAGGGTGATGATTGTGATTAGGAATATACGTTGAGGGGAAGTCATGTTGATCGCCTCGTTGACACGTTGGTTTTCTTCCCTTCTGTCTTTGGATATCTGGACCTTTGACCGGAAAGGTTCGTAAGTTACCTTAAAGATGGAAGGTTGATAGATGGCTTGAGTGGATCGGACCTGCCGTATTGCCGTTTACCTTGTGAGAGGAAGACTGGATGAGTGGATGATGTTTGTTATACATATTTTGATACATTAGTTGTTGTTGCCGGATGGATCACAGGATGGAGTAACGGAGGGGGTGAAGGAGTAAGAATGTAAGGATAGATTTGTGACATGTAACATGTTTCTATATCTTTCCCTTACTCTTCTTTTCTCTGTATCATAAGTTTCTTTTCCTACTCTATTCGTATATTCCCCTTGACAACTTCTCTTACTCTTCTTTCACCCGTTTCAGCCCCCACCTATACCTACCCACCAATAAGTGTTCTCTACGTCAACATGAATGGATGCTCTGACTCGGAGCCCCACCTCCACCGAACCCTCAAGATAACCCCGACACCCGAACCGATGTGGCACATGCCTACGCCACAAACGACCGCGTCGTCGCCACCGCACCCACCGCGCCGCGCCGCGCGCCACGGTCGGAACGATGGGGAAATCGGAAGAAATGACGAGCGAGGGGGGAGGGAGGGAGGGGAGAGGGGGACCGAGGGGAAAGGGTAAAGACGGAGGGGGATCGGTGATTGCTGATTGGTTATCGAGTGATACATTGGGGCAGGGGGTTACATGTTGTTCTTCACCATCACCCTGGTCATTGAGTATACATAACATACATAACATACATACATACAACCTCGTTCGACAAGCATAGGAGGGGTAAAGTGTATACAGTAGCTACCTAGCCGCTTGGATACATGGGTACATGGTGAGTGATGCTTCTCTCACAAGGTTCGATGACTGCACGGCGAGTTGGGCTTGGTACTACATGCTACATACATGTTACATGGTCAGAGGGGGTCACCCTGGGGTCTGACTCTGGGTATGGTGTCGGGGATGCATGAGTGAAAGTGTTACGTTGAGAGTGGAGACGTTGGTGGTGGTGGTGGTGGTGGTGATCCTTCGAGGGGGAGGGATCGGGAGAAGAGGGGAGGGAATGGGTGGGTGATGGCGACGACACACCTTCTGTCAACGAGGAAGAGCGTATGAGACGACATACGATAGTAGTGAAGACCATTACGTTGCCCCATACTCCACAGTCCATAGTCCCTATCTGAAAACAACATATCTATGATCCATGTCCCATGCCCCAGAGAAGTAAGACAAGAAAAACATGTCAAATGTCACGACTAACGCCCAGATCATCAACACCTTCAACACCTCCAACCAACACCCACACCATTTCACATCTCAGTTCACACCGTTCATCATCCTCTCATACCCTGCAGGTCTCAAACACCAACCGACTCATCACCAAAACAGCGATACAGAAAGACATCAACAGACATAAAGATATAGATCGATAGATGGGACATAAACCATACACGCGATAAATGAGATCAAGATGAACCCTACTTCAATGCAACATCTCATGAATGTATACAACATAAACGATGGTGTGAATGATCATAATGATCAATCACATTCGACCCAGGTCGGTGTAAATCGAATCATCAACCATGATACATCTACCAATCACCCTTTTTCTCAATCCACACCAAACCTACCTTATCAACCTACACCAAACTTACCTCATATCTCCCAAATCCAAAATCCCACACTCGATCAAGAAATGAAAGAAAGACCACCACTTTCACAAAAGGTTGATCAAACCTTCCCGCCGCATACGAATCATGGGCAGCACCGATCAGATGAAGTTCGACTCAATGGAGTTTCGTCGGATGATATTGCACAGACCGTTGATACTCTGGTACGGAAAGAGTCGCAGAATGGACATGTAAAGTATAATCAGCAGATTTCATCAAATGGGAGTATGGCTATATATGGGGATAAACAGAGGTCGAATATGAATGTAATTGCGAGTGTAGATACGGAGAGAGGGGATATGGTAGAGACAAAAATGAACGGAAGTCTTGTAAGCTTTTCTGTATAACCCCATCAAGTCTGTCGTACGGAACGGATACCCCGCTACACTCGTCTCATAAATGTCTTGAAATCGCTATCTCGGATGGTGGAGAGAAAAACCTCTTGTAGTGTATGCGGAAGATGGATGTACTTGGTACAGGTAAGATCAACCCTAGATGAACAATGTTGGATCGTTTGAAGTGGGGAAAACCGGAAGATCAAGTAGGCACAACGTGAAGATGAAGTGGGTACAACGTCAGGATGAAAAGAAAAGAAAAGGAGAAACCTAGGATAGATCACATCTTGATGGGTCTTGGTAAGGGTATGAACGATCAAGCTTGATAAACCATCGAAAATTGAAGAACGTTGGAGGAGACGAGAATCAAATATAAAATGAGGGAGAAAAGAAACTGATCTCGAAGACACCTACACCACACATAACATCCCAATCTCCTAAACCTCTTTCGACCGCTCCGAATCGATCAGAACGGACTTTGGACCTCACTCCAACTATTCCTCATGGTGGAATACAATTGGAGGGAAGAGTGAATTCGACCATCCCGTCTCAAATCACTTTAGTTGAGGGTGTCACTTCGTCCTTCTCTCCGACCTTGCCTGACACTCGTACGGGATTGACGGAGAGACACAACATTGTCTCGCCCACTTATGCGGATTCAACGACGAGACCCAACATTATTTCGCCCACTTATACGGAACCGACGACGAGACCCAACATTATCTCGCCCACTGATGCGGAACCGACGACGGCGAGACTCGGTCCAACCTTCCCCGGAGGTCGTTCAGATTCATCGGTGAAGATTACTGCGTCTTTCTCCCCCAGTAAATCGGAACAAACCACAAACCTCGCTACGTCCTTCTCTCCCAATAAACCGGAACAAACCTCAAACCTCACTTCGATCATGTCGGACGATCTCACAGAACCATCTGATTCTGTTGATTCGGAGGATGATGCGGAAGGGGAAGAAGTTGGGTATACATCTGTGAGTATTGTCTTTACCTTCTCTCTCCGTAATTTCTTTATAATTTTCCATGTTTCATATTTCTTCTATCGACTAACCTCTCTACCTGTCTGTTATTCAAGATATAATTACGTTTGGACACATGGTCCATACCCACCCTCACTCATTTCGTATTTCGTCTAATCAACACTACCTCTTTCTCTTCTCATGCACCCTTTCAAAACCTTCTCACTCTCTCCTCTTTCTGTCTTCTCCCGATGGCCTAGCCCCATGTCTCTCCTCCCAACATCTTCTCACAATCTCTCTTCTTTCTTTCTTTCTTTTTCCGATAGCCTACCCCTCATGTCTCATCTCTAAACCTTCACAATCTCTCGTCTTTCCTTCCACTTTTGATGAATAAACACAATAACCAGCAAAGTGGGACCCACGACTGACCTCAGATCCCTCCACCCGACAACGAATCCGACGCTGACGAGGAAGACGAAGGTGATTTCCAAGATGATGGTGAGGACGAAGAAGATGAAGAGGATGAAGAACCTATGGACGACGATGATGATTTGGATTTCGGTTCAAAGGGAAAGACTAGGAAGAAGAAGAAAGTAAAGGTTGAGAAAGTTAAAGAGAGTAGGGAGAAAGAAGGTTATGGGAAGAAGAGGAAATGTGAGTTTACATGTTGTTTCCAAGTTGATTTTTGTCCTTTTCTAGCAAATTCTTCAAGATTTCTCAGTTCTTATCTTTCTTGCCTTGGCTTTGGTTTTTTTGCTTCTCAAACTTTCATGGCAGTTCATTCATAACCCATGACACCCCAGTCCTACGGTTCCGAGCGGACCATCCGACTTCTCAATCCCTACCTCTCTCTCTCTCTCTTATACATTCATTCATCCTCCTCATCTCTCTCTCCCTTGTATTGTACAAACGAGGCACCTCTTCCGTCTATCTGGTCGTCGACTTTCTATGTATGAATGCATACTGGTGTCGACGTTCCATGTATAAACGCATACTGGTTGTCGACTTCTCGTGTATAAAACGTATACTGGTTGTCGACCACTCATGTACAAACGCAATACTAACACACAGCCCTAGCCGCTTTCCCACAACGTCGTGAACGTTCCGCTTCTTCAGATGAAGATTACGCAAAGAAATCTCACAAGAAAAAACGTTTCCCCCAACCACCCGGTTCCTCCCGCGGTACACCAGACGCTACATTCGACAGCGATGCATGGAGAAGAGGAGCGGCGAAAAAAGTGGTGAGTTATAATGAAGCAGAAGTGGATTATGGTTTGGAAGAGGATGAGGTTTATTATGAAGCTGGTGGTGAGGCAGAAGGGGGTGAGTCGTGTTTGTCCTCTGGTCTCTATACATAACTCTTTCCTCGTGACTCTTGTCGTCTGGCCGTTTTTCAAGAATTTTTTGAGAGTGAAATTCCAGAGCGATATTTCAAAACGACTCACCAAATTTCACTATTCTCACACACGTCTTCCATTCAGTGGTTCTATATCTACGTTTGTTTTCTCCTTAGGTCCACCGACATTATATCCAGTGCTTCCATATCTACGTTTGTCCCCTCTTTGATACGGCACACCAGCACACAAAGCCCCTCATTCGTCATCATCATGGCGAGTGTTCCAAGATCCACAGTCTTCTTCTCACACCTCTTCGTCTACCTTTCCTTCTTCCTTCACGCTTGTTATCCGCTTGTCTCCAGTACCCAATGACTTCCCTGTGATAGTACTATCCAAGGGAGCTGGATTCCCTGCTCACATTGATGGATTCATAAATTGCAATCCAGGCTTCTCTAGAAACTTTGAATAGTGAGAATTGTAAATTTTGTCGACCAGGCAAAACCGTGCTCAGAAACACATCCGAGTACCTTACTAACACTCAGCCCCAGGGACAGACGAAATCGACCAAGTCCTCTCCCACACACGACACGAAGACCATCTTCAAGATCCAAAAGATGATCCAACTCTCAACCTACGATTTCACGTCAAATGGAAAGGTTATTCACATATACATAATACAGACGAAGTTTATTCTTTCTTGAAAGGTTTCAAAGGTTTTAAAAAAGTAGAAAATTACATAACGAAAATCTGGATGATTGAACAACAATTCTTAAATCCTTCTATCGATGCTCAATGGAAACCGAGTAGAGAAGAATTAGAACAATATGATATTGATCGTGAAAGGATTAAAGAATTACAAGCTAGTTGGAAAATTGTCGAAAGGGTTTTAGATGAGAAAGAAGATGTTAGAGATGGTCAAAGGGTTTCTCTGTTTTTCTGTAAATGGACTAGTGGGTCTTTTTCTTTCTGTGTGATCTTTTCCAACTCCTCTTTCCTTTCCACAGTCTATCTTCTGCTCTCATTCTATTTTCCCCACGACTTCCCCCCTCCCACTCCAGTTCAGTACGCCCTTGCCTTCTTCTTTACCTACTAGACCCTCACCTTGTTCTCTACTCAGTAGACGTCCCTGCCCTGTTCCCTATTTTCGACTCTTTTACCCTCTTACCTACCTGTTATTTACTCCTCGTCAAAGACGTAAATCTCCCTTAGGCTCTTTGTCCCCTTCTCGAGTCGTCCTCGCCGTCATGTTATCTTTCTCACATTCGTCTTTTGTCCTCCATCTATCAATCCGTTTCCACCCACCCCCTTCTTGCTCAATCCGGACGAGACCACCCTTGTCGTAATTTCGGAACCGATCTGTTGAACAAAAACTCACTTCAGACCTTCAATACGCAGAAAGCACCTGGGAAACATACGAAGAAATCCGAGAAACAGCTCAATCGGCTATCGACGAATTTCACGCTAGACAATCACGTACCACACTACCCGCTCGGTCAGCCGCTTATGCTTTGACAAACAGACCTGCGTATCAAAAGATTACAGAAGATCCTCCGTATTTGAAAGATCATGGGGAACTGAAACCGTTCCAATTGACGGGTTTGAATTGGTTGGCTTATTTGTGGTGTAAGGGTGAGAATGGGATATTGGCTGATGAGGTGGGTGGTTGTTTCCTCATTGTCTTGCTTTCCGCCTTGCTCTCCCTGTCTACCGTTCGCTACTCTCTCCTCTCCTCTCTACTGTCCCCTCTCGTCTCTGCTTTCCCCCGCGGCCTCATCGGAGTCCCTTCTTCCTATGTGTCGCGAATTAGACCCGTACTTTCTTGTCTCTCCTCCCTTGCCTTCCATGACATAGGATCCGTCTCTGGCTTTTACGCTAGTCCTTTCTGGCTGTCGGACGGTGAGGTTGGATTGAGTCACGCTTTCTCCGGAAGCATTTTCGTTTTGTCGTATATTACCGACATTGTGCAACCAACCATTCGTCACAAATCTAACCCACAGATGGGTCTCGGCAAAACAGTTCAATCCGTTTCCTTCTTATCTTACCTATTCCACACACAACATCAATACGGTCCCTTCCTCGTCGTCGTCCCCCTTTCGACCATATCAGCGTGGCAATCTCAATTCCGTATTTGGGCCCCAGACCTAAACGTTGTGAGCTACATGGGATCCGCCGCATCTCGCGAGGTCATCCGACAAACTGAATTCGGTCCATTACGAGCACTCCGTTTCAACGTCCTTTTGACAACATACGAATTCATCCTCAAAGACCGGGCGGATTTGGGACAAATCAAATGGCAAGCTTTGGCAGTGGACGAAGCGCACAGATTGAAGAATCATGAATCTCAATTATACGAAGCTTTGAAGAGTTTCAGTACCGCAAGCCGGCTGTTGATCACGGGTACACCTTTGCAGAATAACGTCAAGGAGTTGTTGGCTTTGATGCATTTCTTAATGCCGGAGAGATGTGAGTTTTTGTTTGTTCCTTCTTCTCTAGTTGCTAGGTCGTTATCATACCCCCTACCATTCTCACATGTGTACTCCGCCTATCAATTTTCATTATTATCTCTTCTTGTCGTGGCCTCTCAACCCTTGTAATCATCCTCTGACGTCCCCCTCTGGTTATTTTACGCCATGCCTGATCCCTGGGTCATCCATGCCAATCTGCGTATTCTTTAACCATCCGGTTAACCCTCGGCCAAGTCTGGATTACCGGGTCATTCTGCCTTTCCTCCTCTTTCGCGTCAATCCGATTATCCTGGACCGAGCCTGGGTACTGACTCATCCTGCCGGTTTCCGTCTTCGGATCCTTCTGGTTTCTCCGGGTCGGTCTCTGTTGGGGCAGAGTGCGAGGGGCAGACGTCCACTGCACTAGATGAATGAATCGAGTTGGCTCAGTAACGACACCAAACGTGGTTCTCCATACCTCATCCCTGATGCTTGGATCGTTGCCAAGGAAGATTCGAGAGACAACGCTGATATCAGTCCAATTGGCAAATGATTTCGACCTTACCGACGTCGACCAAGAAGCCAAGATCAAAGATCTTCACGAGAAGCTCGGTACGTTGATGTTGAGAAGATTAAAGAAAGACGTGGTGAAGGAATTACCCACAAAATCGGAGAAGATCTTGAGGGTGGAATTGTCCCCGATGCAAACTCATTATTACAAGAGTGAGTCTACGTCTATTTCATCCACATCATAGTCTTGCTCGACTGTACGTCAATGTGATTTGTCCCGGTCTGACCAGGTGATGAGTCTTTCCAAAGCCATACCGTTCATCAACTTCATCTCCAGTGCTACGACCACCTTACCAAACCCGTTTCACCATCATGGCATCCTTCGTGTATCGTGACGGTCTCAAAGTTGTCTTGTCCTCCCTTCTCATTGTCGGTCTATCTAATTCTTCTTCTGTTCCGGGAATGTCGAAGCGATACCGAGACTTCTTTATGTTCCACTTTGATGCGTAAGCCGATGAGGGTAGAATACACTTTGTGATAAGTCACGGTTAGCCAGGCGTGAAATGTCATGGAAACATCAAGAGCACGAGCTGACAGTTGCAGATATCTTGACCAAGGTAATTTACATAACGTAGTCAAATCAAGTCAGACTGACAAAACAGAACTTTGCCGTGTTGAGTAAAGGTGGGACTCAACAAGTCAGCTTGATGAATATTGCAATGGAGCTCAAAAAGGCTTCGTATGTTTTTTTCCCGAATCGGCGTTCATTCACGTCTCACTTCCCCTGCCGCTGTTCGCCCTCCATATCTCTCCACTTCTCTTGCCCATCTAGCCCCCTCCTCCCGGGCTCTCATCTTTTCCGCCGCTTTCTGCTCCCGCCGTCCACAATCTGGGGCAATGTGTGCTGTGCAACCAAGTCATGTCGCCGCCTACTTAGAGCCCGCCTGCATCTCATGGCGTCGCAATGTTTTTTCCTCTCAATCGCTCTCACGCTGACCACAGAAATCACCCTTATCTCTTCGACGGTGCTGAAGATCGCTCCAAATCGATCCACGAAATACTCCGCGGGCTCGTGATGAACTCTGGCAAAATGGTGCTCCTCGATAAACTTCTCACACGTCTCAAAGCGGACGGTCATCGAGTACTTATCTTCTCTCAAATGGTCCGTCTGTTAGATATAATCAGCGATTATCTTTCAGCTAGAGGATACGTCTTTCAAAGACTTGATGGAACTGTTCCGAGTGATGTGAGAAAGAAGAGTATAGAACATTTCAACGCTCCAGGTTCGCCGGATTTCGCCTTTTTGCTTTCTACCCGTGCTGGGGGGTTGGGAATCAATTTGGAGACGGCCGATACTGTCATTATCTTTGATGTGAGTGCATAATCTCTCTTGCGCATCGCTCCTCATATTTGGATATCATTGCTTCGGATCCACATTGGCTTGCCTTGTCTATTTCACCTTGCCTCGGATGTAGATATCCGTCACCTTCCCAAATGACCGTGTCCGAAGCGTATCATGTAGGCGGAACACGGCAGATTAGACACTGCAAGTCTAGGCAACTCAATTACGGGTTGTGAGGGAGTCTAAAGTGATGGAAAAGGAGATGCTGATGATAGTCCGACTACAACCCTCAAAACGACCTGCAGGCAATGGCGAGAGCACACCGGATTGGTCAACAAAGACATGTCAGTATATATCGTTTCGTGTCGAAAGGTACGATCGAGGAGGATATTTTGGAACGAGCGAGACGGAAGATGATCTTGGAGTATGCGAGTGAGTTTGGTCGTTTTTTGCTGTGACCTAGCCCTTTTCTCTCTCTCTCTCTCTCTTTCTCTCCCTCCCTCTCTCTCTCTTTCTTCCCCCCCCCCCCCCCCCCTCTGTCTTTCTCCACAAATACAAATAAGCACACACACAATTTGCCACTGTCACCCCGACCCGATCCCTTTCTTCTTCATCCTGATCGAATACAGTGAGCACGACGCCCCGCTGACCCCAGTCATCAACCAAGTCGACACCACCGGTGGACACATCAACGGTACCTCCACACCCCGTGACAAGCCCGGGGAATTCTCGAAAGAAGAGCTCTCAGCCATGTTAAAATTCGGCGCTCAGAGTATTTACAAAACCGACGAATCTGCTCAATCCAAGAAACTCGACGAAATGGATCTCGACGATATCCTCACAAAAGCCGACGCTTTCGATACGGAATCCGCCGCTCAACCCGGTGGTACTTCCCTTGGAGGTGAAGGTTTCCTCGCTTCCTTCGCCGCCATCCAAGATGTGAAGAACGATCCTCTTGATGAGTTGAGTTGGGACGAGATCATCCCCGCTGAGGAAAGGATCAAGGCGGAAGAGGAAGAGATCAAGACGAGCAGTACCGATGCGATGGTACAGAGTTCTAGGAAACGTGCGGCGGCGAGACCACCGGGGACTTACGAAGGTATGGATAATGATATTGGTGAAGATGGAAGTAAACCGGGTAGTCCTAGTGATAAAAAGGCAAAAACACCAGGCGCGCCGAGGAAGAGTAATGCTCAAAAGGCGTTAGAATTGAAGGAAAGGGATTTGAGAGTGTTGATTCGGGGTATACAGAAATGGGGAGATATTCGCAGTAGGTATGATATTATAGTGAGTGTAATTCACTCCTCTCCTTTCATCTTCCTTGCCTTGCCTCCCACTATTTCCTGCTCTCTTCTCCATCCGCTCTGGTTGAGCAGACTTTGATTCCTAATGTCTGTTCCCCCTTAGCCAGCCAGTCACTCTTGGTTCTAGCACATTCAGCCTGCACCTAATCACAAACGTCTCTTGTCCGGGGCAAGCAATAGGGATCACTGACATTGCAGGTCAAAGAAGCAAAACTGGAAAACAAAAACCGAGTCATCATCATCCAAACCTGCGAAGACGTCGTCTCCGAAGCCGAAGCCGCCGTGGCTAAACACAAAGCTCACCTCCGTTCACTTCAAGATCGAGGTGAACCCATCTCTTCATCCCTTCGACAAAAAGCAGTCTTGTTTTCATACAACTCTGTATCTTCCATCAACGCCGAAACTGTCGTCGCCAGATACTACGAGCTAAAAGCTGTCGTGGAGCATTTCAAACGGGTCGAAGATATAACAACGTATCGCATCCCTAATGACAGTATCAAACCTACTCAGAATTGGACGGTGGAATGGGGTCCGGAAGAAGATACAAAGTTGTTGATTGGGATTTGGCGACATGGCTTCGGGAGTTGGGAACAGATTTCGCAGGATGGACAATTGAATTTGACCGAAAAGATGTTTTTGGAGGATCCGAAGGTTGCGAAGAGCACTACTAATGAGAAACCGGGTATACCTGGACCTATACATTTGGTAAGGAGGGGTGATTATTTGTGTGAGTGAATTTTTTTTGGTTTCACCATCCCTCTGCTTTCATCGGTTCCCTTTTCCATCCCTTTTACCCTACTCTGTCATCCGACTCGTCCTGCAAGTCACCGTCCGTATCCATCTTACTTGTTACCCTCGTCCTCTGCATATTCTCTCCGCGTGGATTCATGCCCTGCTGTTCATTCCGTACTTCAGCCTCTGCATAAGTTGGTGTATACATCATGTCGAGATATCTCCGTGCCATCAGACGCTGACAGATCAGGCAGTCTCATAAGAGAATACGAAGAAAATCGTAGGGTGATGATAGAACAACAAAAGCTCATCGAGCAAATGCCCGTCAAGGAAGGGTTCGGATACGAACAACCAGTCTTACAGGTCCGTCTACCCAGTATGTCCTCTACACCCGGTGCGGGACCTAGCAAAGCGAGAACGTCGGCTGTGGTGGATGATAGTTTGCTGGCCAGTGGTAAAGAAGGAAAGGCGAAGAGGAGAAAAACTCCAGAGTTCACAGATTCGGAAGATGAGGATAGTTGGTGAGTTGTCGTTACACGTCTATCCTTTTGTCGTCCCGCTTCTCGCCATCCCTGCTGATCTATCTCGTCCCTGCCTTCACCCTGCCCGCTCCATCCTACTTGGAGTCATTCAGGGATTGTCACTGTGTCTCCCGGCATTACTCACTGGCCCTCTGATACGCTTTTGGTAGTTGGACAACTTTCTTCCGAGTCGGCTGGCAGCTCAGTCATGTTTCGCGTACGAAGCAGAGCTGAAACGCAGCTCATCAATGGACGAAAATGCAGTCAAAAATCTTCTCCGACCGGTCAAGAAGAGTTTGGTACGTTCCCCAACCCCCCTGAAGGTACCGCTCTGACCAAGCAGAAAAAGCTCAAGAATGGGACGGACAGTCTGTCAAGAGATGAGAAAATTGCCGCCTTGAAAGAATGTCTGTCAGCTATAGGAACTCAGATCGAGAAGGCCTTGGTGGAGAAGGAAGCGGAGGGGGCGGATGTTGCCAAATGGAGAAAACATTGTTGGGTGTGAGTCGAAATTGTCCGGCATCTTCCTCGGCATCCCGCATAGAGCATTCACTCCTCTCTTTCGCCTCCTCTTTGAGGCCCTGGGTTATTATCCCTTGACCGGTCACCGACTGAGGCTTGGTTCTTCCTACTGTTGATAGCCCCGCTCATACTCAGTTTCGCATCGTTCTTCTGGCCTCGACAAGGAGTATCAGCTTCCAAGCTCATGGACATCCATCAAAAGCTTGTGAGTTTATCAAATTTCACTATACCCCATGACTGCTCGCTGAGATTTCAGGTGAAAGAATCAAGTCCTTCACCACCGACCAAACCAAAAGCAAAGACGAAACGCAAGTCTGAAGTTGATGACCGACCGAAAAAGAAGATCAAAGTGGAGACGAGTGACTGATCTGTACATATATCCCTGGGTGAGCGTGGCTTTTTTGAAATGTTATCATCTTTGTGTGTTTTTCCTCTCTTCTGGTATTTTGTCTGCCGAAAAGGTGTTCCATCTCTTCTCCTTGTTCCGAAAACCCCTTAGTGAGATGGCCGTCTACTGATTTGGAGACCGAAGCCGTATCGTGGAGCTCGTCTTACTACTCAATACGTTGACCTTTCACCGCTTCAAGCCATGACGTGGCGGATATGACTTATTTCCCGATTGGGTCTGACCGCACTTCCGGATCCGATTCCTGACGCTTTCTTGACTCTTCCGTGGAGTGTGAACACTGCTGAAGGGTAGATATCAGGCGAGGTTGAGTGAATACTCTGACTCTTTTCCTCCTCTCCGTTTGCTTTGACTCGTTATTGACCTGTTCCCCGGGTGGGATCATAGACATTCATTTTTCAAAGAGCTGGTCTCTATCTCGAACCCTCAAGATTTCTACTACGACTTTACTACTCTACTCTCGCTCCCTGTCTCTCGTCATATTCCTCGTCTTATCCTCGCCTTTCTTATCCATATTGACTCTTGATACAACGTGTCTCTTCTTTACTTCTTCCTGGGACATCCCGAGGATATACCTTCCTGATTACATTATCCTATCCTTATAAACTTACCCAAAATGCTCATCAATCTCCAACAAGTCTTACTCAACCTCGGTCTCATTTCCTCTCTGGACAAACCTCATCCGAGAACTCCGAAATCTTCAATCTCATCCCCCGTCCTCACTGCCGCTTCCTTACCTTCTTTCCAATCATCCAACTCCAACTCCAACTCCACTTTCCTCTTTACAGACTCCTCAGATTCTAACACAGACTCTTCACAATGCTCTTTCACCCCATACACACCAGATCCGGTCCAACTGGAAGATTTCCCTGCTTGGGATCCACAACAAGCTTTGTTATATCGATACAGACAACAACAAAGTGTGAATCTAGGAAGTTGGTTTGTTCAAGAACAATGGATGAACCCTTCTTTATTCAATTGCGCTTCAGGTAATCAACAAGCTGAATTGGATGTCGCTAGTGGTTGGGGAGGAGTAGGGAATTCTAAACAGGTTTTGGAACGTCATTGGGATGAATGGATAACTGAAGATGATTTTAGTTGGTTGAAAAGTGTTGGGATTAATACGGTCAGGTTACCTATAGGTTTGTAAGTCTGGACTTCATCATTGCTTTCCTACCCCGTGACAACATACTCGTTCACTGCCTACTGCCCTTCTTCCCTGTCAACGTACCTTTTCCTAATTCCTGAATTCACATACTTCTCATTCTATGTGCCACTCGTACTCTTCCCTTCTCAATAGCCTATGCTGCAGCACAGTGCAAGTGTGTCGCTGCGTGAAGGATCTTATTGTAATGATGGTAGAGTAAATCTGACAGATAGTTGGTCCCTAGGTCCGGATTACTGTAAAGGTACAGTCTTTGAAGATGTCTCGGATGTGTATTCCAATGCTTGGCCGAGGGTAGTGCGCGCTATCAACTGGGCGGAGAAATATGGTTTGGGAGTTTTGGTAGATCTTCATGGTGCACCTGGTAGTCAGAATGGTCAGTTTATCTCTTTGCCCCCACACCACAAATCTCTCATCAGACCTATCTCTCACCTCACCTCACTCTCACCATCGACCTGCTGATATATGTCGTGCTCCCATCACGGGCATTACGCTGAATCATCCACACCAATCCTCATTTCTCCAACACGCTCACTCGTACCATAAGTATGAGAGCACCAGTATGACCCCACCCAAGTCTATTCAACACCATCTCTCCACGATATCTCTTAGGAGAGATGCGAAACGGGATTGTACTGATAGAATACCAAGAAATACTTGGATTTCTTGCTGACCCGTACGTAGGTCAATCTCATTCGGGTGTGTCAGACGGACACCAAAACTTATTTGATAATCCGACAAACGTGGCTTTGACGATGAACGCATTGACTTTCTTGACTCAACAATTGGTAAAGGTCAATAACGTTGTTGGTATTGAGTTGTTGAATGAGCCGAGTAATGTGGATGGGTTGACATCGTTTTGTAAGTCAGGTCTCTCGTTCCCTTTCAACCCTCCACTCTCCTCTTCTTGTCTGTCTGAACTCACAACCCTCATCCCCGGGTGGACATTCTGGCTTTTAAGGTAGGCGTAAGGTAATGAGGACGGAGTATAGAACTCACCTTGGGTCCGGTAGCAGACGACTGGATGGTCCAGAACCAATATATCCTTTACCTAGCCTCGAGAAACTTCATGTCTTGAGAGTCAGATACAGGTCTCACATCAAGGAAGCCGGGATCATCGCTGATATCAGACACCCAAGCGTTGACCACCTTAAGACAGTTGTCTCCTGAAGCAGCTGCATTTCCATTTTACATCAACGACGCTTTTGATTTGAACCGGTTCTCTGACTATCTCTCAACTCGAACAGACTTTGTGGTCCTTGACCATCACTCTTGTGAGTTGCTTCCTCTATTTCTGGTTGCCTTTTTCTCTCCACACTCCCTTGCGGTTTATTACTTCTGTTCTGCCTATTTGATGAGTTTCGATCATGCGGATCTCCGGTATCTGAATAATACCTGATTTTCAGACTTTGTGTTCGGAGATCAACCCTCACAACAAACTCCTGTAGGACAAATCGATGCCACCCTACTCCCCATCCACGGCACACTCTCACAACAACTCCTCTCTGTCTCTTCATCAGCTCGTAGGAATCTCGTGATCGACGAATTCTCCTGTGCTCTCACAGCTTCCGCACTCGCCAATTCACCCGACGAAACAGCAGATCGTCGAGCATTCTGTACTGGTCAAATTGAGACTTACGCAAACACAACAGCCGGTTATTCATTTTGGAGGGAGCTCTTTCCCTTCTTTCGTCGTATCGTGAGCTGATGATGGTATAGGTTATAAGACTGAATCATGTGACGACGATCCAAATTGGTGTTTCCGTTCAGCCGTCGGAAAAACATTACCATCAACATTTTACTCTTATCCCTCTTCTTCCATCCAGGCCATATCTTCTCAAATCTCCAATGACTCCAACTCTGATTCAACTACTTCTTTACTTGCTCTTACGTCTGGGCAGAACCAATTTACGGGGATGGAGAAAACTCTGAGTGCAGAGCAGATGTCTACTATGTTGGCAGGGACGGAATTTGATGATATCCCAATGGATTCACCGGAAATGTACGATCATACAGCACCTGTAAATCCAACTTCTTTAGGATCCCTCAAACCTTCTACCATCCCAAAAACCGGTCAGGTGGGGGGGATCACCCAAGTTGTGGGGAAGATTCCCTCGTCGCAGAGCGTCATGACTAAAGGTGGTATCACTCAACCTGAAATCAATCAAATCGGAATTACCGAGCTCCAACAAGTTACACAAAATCAACAGATACAAACGATCAATACCAATACCATCCCTTCTTCTCGTCTTGATATGGACTCTCCTTCTTCCCCACATCTTTCAACTTCTTCCTTTACATCTTCATCGGTCAATCCCCCTTTTATCAGATCGATGGGTCAATCTAAATTTTCACAAAAGCGATCCCTGTCTAGTGTATTGTTCGGTCAGGCAGGAAAGAGACAACATCGTTTCATCGCTCGGTCCGGTCGATTGGCAAGAAAGGCGAATGTAAAATCACGACTTGGAGATAATCATTCGCTTTTGTATCCGGCGTATGAACGTGAAGAAGATGAGGGAGAGAAGAAAATTGGACAGGTTTGGAAAGGGGAGGATGTGCTGGAATGGATTGAACAGGAGAAAAGGGATGATTCGGGAGATGTGACAAATTCAAAAGGTTATCAAGATGGTGTCAAAGCTGCTAAAGCTTTTGCTGCGTTTAACGGGTCAAGATTAGGTGAGTTTTCTCCGCCGTCTAACCTTCCAATCAGACGACGGTCATCTTCATGATATTAAGAGAAGAAGACGTGAATCTTGAGGGAACGGAGACTGAATGAGAGGATCAGGACTTGAGTGAGAGACGGTCTAGAGGTTAATTGAAATGAGAAAAGATGGGTTCCACAATCCGATAATGGTGTCGACGGAAGTTATAAATCAAAATTGACGAACAGGTTTCTCTGGTCAATTCATCACCGACGCTCTTGTGATTTTGAAAAATACCAATTTCAACAGTGACGAAAATGATTATCGTAATTTTTTCCGTATGTCTCTTCTCTCTCTTCTTCCTGCGCTTATGTCGGATAAGAAGGATTAAAGCTGATTAGTTCAGTTCAAGGTCTTGCAGATGGGGAAATGCAGGTTCTTTTATCTATGGCGGGACGATTGTCGAGATGAGTCTCGGATAGTTGTCGTGTTTGCGATCAAACGTGGAATATCAGTCAGTCGATGAATGACCTAACCTCAAAGTACAAGATCCTATCAGGGAGATAACATAGCTTGGGATAATCCCTCGATAAAGAGGCAGAATCGAGTAGTTGACGGTAGTGGGTGAACAAACTGATTACAAGTTACTTCTTGGCAGTTTCACAATAATGTGTGATTTTCAACAACAACATGCATTTATCTGGTATTTTTGGAAAGATGTACAAACAATGACTTGTTGATACTGACTACATGATTACATGATCACATTGGGAGTTGTATATTTTCGTTCTTGATACAGTATGCTACATGATTCATGATACATCATTTTTTCATGGGGCGAGAATGTTGTTATTGTACAGTGCGAGAGGGATTTGGTTTAAGAGGCATAACGATTGTCGAGAGAAGTGAGTAATCTATTAGTCGGTGCTCTAAGGGGGAAAGCTCCAGTAGGTGCAACACCACCTTTTGAAGGTTCGTATATGTATGTGAGACCAAGTCCTGGTGTCTGTTTATTAGTTAGTGATCATGTTGTGTCATATCCATCTCGAGGATAGGGAAAGAAGGAAGGAAGGAACGAGAAAAGATCAAAACTGACAGTTGGTATTTGTGGTTTCTTGAAACTTGGTTCAACATCTTCATCGATTTTAGGATCGAACATTCCACCTAATTCAGTAGCTAATACGAACCAAATCAAAGCTGCCAAACATAATACAGCAGCACCACGATGAACTAAAAAGTCAGTCAGATATCAATCAATCACCTTTATCCCACTCCCTCCTCCTGTCTAGTCTACCTCTAAACCGACACAAACACATACACAAAGTAGAGTACTCTACTCTACTTGTATAAAGTATATGTCAAAGTATTCGTAGAAAAAAGTATATGTCAAAGTATTCGTAGAAAACATCAACGGACAGACCTAAACCTATAGGAAACACCACCAACTACCATCCTGTCGTCCTTGAAGTTTTTCTTTACAGCCCAGAAAGGTTTGAAAACAAATGATATGATATGATATGATGATTAAAGTGAGAGAAACAAAAAGGAGGGAGGGGGGAACTCACATAATCCAATAGCTATAATACCAACTACTAATTTAACATGTACCAACCTCTTAGCCCATTTCTTTTTATTCGCTGTATATTCTTTAATCTCTTTTTGATGTTTCTTGAGACGTAGTTCTTCTGCTTTTTTAGCTTCTTTCTTCATTTTTGCTTTGTTTTCAGGTAATTCAGCTTGGTTGTAATGTCCCCTGATGTCAGTTACTACATTATCTTATCTTTCTTCTCATCAAATGAAGAAAAAAAAACATATGATATTCCCTATCCTATTCAAATATACTTTTCTAAAAACTTCTTTTACCTCTTTCCTTTCTATACTTTACTGTACATTGATAAGATTTAGTCTTTTTATCCGATACACATGTTATCCGATACACATTTTATCCGATACACATTTTATCCGATAAACTTCTCATCTGAAAGTTCTCCTGAATTCCCGGGTTGATACTTGGATTTTCCAGGTTGATGAATACAGCTTCATGACTCTGAGAAAGACGTTATGGATATTCAGTGAACCGAAGTCATGAGCTCGAAGGAGATTTTGAGGTTTTGATTGAGAAGAAGGAGAAAAAAAAAATGATAACTCACACATGTGCCGAATTCCCTGCTTCCCACCATAATTCTCCTTTCAGTTTCTCATCAGTTCCTGCTTTACCTAATGGGAATGGGAACAATCGTGGTTTTGCTTCTCGGGTAGTGAGGAAAGCGGATGGATGTGAAGATTCGTTTTCCTAATTTATCAACGATCTTTCTTTTTACATCTTATATACCCCAGATACGTCTCTTGTCTCTTTGTCTCCTCCCGAATGCTGTTATCATTGGAAGCTCACATAGGGAAAGATGAATGAAGAAGAGACTATTTTGGAAGGTAGCAATTACCGATGTCTTTCCATCCATCACTGTGAGGAGAAAAAGGGCGTTATTGAAGACCATGGAGAAAGCTTAATCATCTCAAAAAACTCACCCATGGATCAGGTTTTCCAGTATCTTTCATACCCTTTTCTTTCATCTTCTCCAAAGCTCTCTTATCGGCAGAAGGAAGTTCTTCCAATTTCGAATTCCATGCAGTCATCATTTGGTCAAAGAAATGATACAACACCAACGCTCTGATCATCAGATACGAATCGCAGGACTTTTCTCACTTCTCCTGGTCACCGCTGATCTTTATAATCTGCTCGAGCTCTATCCATTTGCAGGATGTAAGGTCAGAAGTTAAGGGCGAAAAGAATGATGGGCAAGGAGGGTTGAATGTTGGAACGGAACAAGTCTACGACTCACGCTACAAGTATCACCATCATCCTTCTGAACGAACCTAAGGCGTCTTGTAGTGGTGGTGGGACATCCATTTGAGCGGTAAGAAGGGAGAGACATCCTAAGAAGAGGATACCGATTTGAGGTGGGGTTAGGGAGCTTGACGAGTTAGCTTTGGTACACCCGACCTCTGCTCATGACATTTCGTGGGGAGTTATTAGTGATGATATGTTGTGGAAGAGGATAAAAAGAGACGATAGGAGACGAGAGACTCACAGAGAGTTACGAGTCTTGTAAGGGTCAACGATGATGTCTTCATCCATGGTTGCCATGGTGGCGGGTTACCTAGGAGACTGTTCCAGTTGTACTTGATGGATTTTGATAAGTGGATAAATAAATGGCGATAACTGGAGCTGTACTCACACTGTATTGGACACATCAATCTGAAACTACTCCTGGGGTATATGGATGAAAGGATGAGCCGTGTTCTGAGGTGTAGGGGAGAAGCTAGTCAGTGTAATGGACGGTGGAAAGTGCCACGAATGCGACAGTGCCACATCGGATTGAACCGCCACAAAGCCGTGCACCCCTCCCACCTCATACAATCACTCTACCCATACATCATACATTTCGGCCTTCTACTTAGGGTACTCATACCCCCCATGTCTAACCCTTCCTCACCTCTCAGATACGATGTCGAAGCTGCCCTTCAACCTCCCGCTCCTAGGGTACGGGTACGGGTCAAATTCCCCGATGTGGCCGGTGATTCCAGCAGCAGTGAGGATGGAGATGAGGATGATGGTGTAGGCGTAGGTATCGGCGTACATACCAGTCCTCCTGGTATCAGGGACGATGGTAGGTACTGTCTTGCTCTACCGAGACTCACCATTCACACTCCTAACACCTTTCTCCCACTCCGCACCTTCCATTGTAACACCTTGGCATCTTTTGACGTTCAGGAATCAGACCGGTCGAAGGTCGAGCTTCTTCTTATCCCGGTGCTATCCTACCACCCACTTCACCAACCGCTCGATTGACAGCCATGGTCAACTCTTCCCTACAAAACCCCAAAATAACCAGAGCCACAACTACCACAGCCGTCACTCGTACACCCAGCGGATCATCCACCATGCCAGATTCCGTCACCGCCCCTCCTCCCTCCTCCGAACACATCACCAACAACACCACCATAGGCGGTTATGCAGCTCGTATGAGTGCCCCTCGTCGTCCTGTAGGACGTGCCAGTAGTTCAACCAACAGCTCTTCACATCCAAAAGGGCAAGACGAAGGTAGACGATTCGGTGGTTTTCACCCCAACGTGATGGATCTTGCTGATCCTGATGCGGATTATTACCAAACGGATCTGGCAGTGGGACGACTGGAAGATTCAGGTTCGGATGACGATGCGGCCAGTAGTCCAAGAGGTGCTTTCGTACATGTCAGACATCCAGGTCCACATAAATTAGAAGAGGTTGAAGAGGTTTTATCTCCAGGTGAAGTACGTCGTAGGGCGCATCCATTAACAGCGGATATGCAAGATGGAAGGGAAAGGTTGGAATGGCAGAGCATGTTAGCTTCCGTACTCAGCGGAGATGTTCTCAAAGGTGAAGAGTCACGTCAAGGTGTCAATCGACCGGATGATGAAGCTGTCAGGAGAGATATAGCTTCGAGCTTTTGGTGGCAGATACGTGCCAAGCTACGGGGGAGAACAGAGGATGAGGAACGTAGAAGAGTAGAGGAGAAACGTGGAAGATTTGTCGATAGGGTTTTGGAGGAGATTGATAGGTTTCAAGTCAAAATCTCGACACATCCTGCAGGGATGGACCGAAGATTGTCTGCTGAGAATGCCAACGACAGAAAACTCAACGGTTCCGATGAAGTGGAGAAAAAATATGATGCAGAGATGTCAGCTTTGGATCAAGTGACATATATATTGGAAAAACTCAGTGTCATAGAAACCCTTTATCCTACTACGGTAGCGATGCGAGCTGCCAAACCATTATATAATTCTCCCGAATTACAACTTCGCGTCGATGCTTTAACAGCTTGGTCAACAGTCGTCGCTGCACTACAATCTCAACTCAAGATCTTACGACGATGGACAGGTTCAGAAGAATTGGATATCACCAAACCTAATACCACCAAAGAAAGAGCTTTAGTAGCTAAAAACCGATATCATCCATTCGACGCTCGAGCTCGTGCTCTGTCCCAAGCGGCTTCCACTTCGGGTACACCGGGAAACGAACAAGCAGCAGATGATACTACTTTCTTGGAACGTCTGATGAAAGAGGATAATCTCAAAAAGACCTTTGCTAGAAGGACGATGGTTGATAATTTGGCGGTTATCGTCATGGCAAAAGAAACAGTCATACAACATTCAGTAGTCTTTGAAGAACTCAAATTACCAAACTTCGAATACGAACTAGTTCGTCTCATCGCTTTTCCAGGAAGACTCATCATTGAAGCTTTAAAAGTTCGATTGGACGCAGCTGGTAAACTGGTTTCACCGAGTCAAATCGTTATAGATGATATGCTCATCAATTTCAAACTTATCATCGGTTTATCTGTGGTCATCAAAAAAGAATACGAAGCTATCGTAGCTCCTGATCCTGCGAATAGATGGGTTATACCACATTGTTTCCCATCGGAATACGATACGATCTTGACCGAAGGGTTGAAGACTTTCTTCAAATTGGTACATTGGAAGTTGAGGTTGGGATCGAGAACGATGTATTTCAGCGAAACAGCCGTTTTGGAAAAAGAATGGAAGTTTATGTATGAAGCGGCTCAGGGGATACCGGGGGGTGATACGGTGGTTGCGGAGCATTTCTGGTGGGTCATCTACTCTACTCTGCCCACTTCTTCTCCACACATTGCTCTTCGAACGTTGCCATGTGAAAACCCCACCTCAACACCATGTCTGACCAATCGACTGAGCGGGAAGGTGATTTGGTAATGCGGGAAGAGACGGTCACCCGGAGAAGGAAGAAGAAGATCTGTAGGCATAGTCAGTGCTCACTACCAGTAACCTCGTCAACAAACTCATGGTCCGCATGGGAAACTACTTTGACACTCAACTTCACGTACCTATACCCATACCACCCGGAGAGAAACCACGTAAGAAGAGCATTGAAGAGAGATTTGGTGGTGAGAAAAGACCTATGACGACGGATGAGATGTTGGTGTGGTTCAGTAAGATTCTGGATGCCGTCAAGATGAGGTATCGGAAATTGCAGCGGTTTGCGAGGTGAGTTAGAGAGTCCGCCTGTCACCTTTTATACGTATTCCGGACATCTTTATGATCGTTTCCATTCCTGATCATCCACGACTCTCGCCGTTCCAGACCATTCAATAACAACCGACTTTTTAGCCGGTTTCTGTGTTGTAGGTCTTAGTCGTGAAAATTTCCCGAGCTGATGACAGACGCCTATCATCCCGCTTTGACAACTCGGCAGAGTATTCCCTCCCTGACGATGTGCTTTCCCCCTTTATCGATCAACTCCAAGCTACTGGTCATTTCCTTGTCTACACTCAAGTATTTGAAGAACGTGGAACCTATATCCTCGCAGATGGTTCACTGTGGAACAAGCCTGAGGCTGTTCGTAATCTCCTCTCTCGAGCATTCTCCGCCCGTATACTCAGTCGAAGCCCTGCCGCCGCCAATGCGACCTCACCCGCCCCTGATCCTAACATCGAAGAGGATGGCCCAGATATGGGTCAGCATTCCGACGGGGAAGATTCCGATCTGGAAGAATGCGCAGGTGCTTATCTCCTTCTACTCTCCCCAAGACAGAACTTTGGTTGGCGCGGAGCGATCATGACTCTTCCTCAAGACTATATCGAATTCTCTCTCGAAGATAATCGCGTTCGTCTGATCGCCGATGGACCGACAACACGATTACAGTTGTGTAAAGAATTATTCCAAGCTTCTTTGGAAGATGTGGACCCGGATCAACAGCCTGTTCAGATCGATTGTCTCGTACCTGCTCAAGCGCATCTACCGAAGATTCAAAAAGAACTACGTAAAATCGCTCGCTCCACCCAACGGTTGAACGAGAGTATAATCGAATCCGCAGCTCATGTCCGTCGAGCTCTTGGAGGGACCCCAGGGACACAAGAAGAGGTTGAGAATTGGTATACCTTCGCATCCGATCATGGACGACGAGTAGCTGTTCATGTACCCGATCAAGCCAAAGCTCGATTCGTCAGACTTCTCATGCGTCTGGCTATCAGTTGGGTATCATTCATCTGTGATAATTGTGATCCAACCGATTGGAGAACATTCCGATGGACCGTTAATGCTTTACGATACGCTCACACTGTCACCGGAGGTGAAAACATCTTACATTTAGATTCACAAGAATTCGCTCTATTAAGAAAATCCGTTGCTGCACTGGTTTCTTTCCTCATACTTCATTTCGACGTCTTAGGAGCTAGAAGTTCTATGGAAGCCAAGAAAGAAACCGATAGAGTTGAAGCTATGCGTAGATTACAACGTCTACAAGAAAACAAAGATGATGATTTCCTACCTAGAGCAACATCACCAATGAACGGAGGTGTGAAACAGCATATGGATAGATCGATCAGGATATCATTGGAACAACGTTTAAATGCTATTTCAGAATTAGAAGCTAAACGAATACATTTATCAACAGATCAACATTTAACAGGACAAGTTTTAGATGAACAAGTGAATGAAGATAGAGCTTTAGTTTTCTTAGCTGCTAGTTCTAGTAATATTGCTTTGAGATGGCAACAAGGAGCTTTTATAGGTGGTGGTGCAAACGGTAATGTTTATATTGGATTTAATCTTGATTCAGGTGGTATAATGGCTGTGAAAGAAATCAGAGTACAGGATTTTAGTAATAGTCCTCAACTTTATAAACAGATAAAAGATGAGAGTGACGTGATGAGTATGTTGAGTCATCCAAATATTGTTGAATATTATGGGATTGAGGTGGGTTATTTCTTTCCCTTCCTACCTCTTTATCTATTCCTTCTCGGGCTTTTCTCACATTCTTGTCCGATAACATGCCACTGTATATATTGTGTCCACTCATTTCTGTTCCCGGATTCCCTGTCCACATATACCACGCGGTTTGATCTCCTGGAATCGCCCAGATGAGAGGGTAATAAATGCCAACGTACGGCCTCACTAACGTGATGATTAAGGTAGTTTATGTCCATGTTATCCTACTGGTATTGGGGAAGGAACGGCACTTGCAATAGAATGGCAGGACATATGAATGATCATCAGCTGATACTCAGGTCCATCGTGATAGAGTATACATCTTTGAAGAATATTGTGAAGGTGGATCTCTGGCTAATCTTCTGGAACATGGTAGAGTGGAAGATGAAGAGGTTTGTATGGTGTATAGCTAACCATTCCGATAGACGTACAAAGACGGCAGGTC